TAAGATAATTGGCTCACTCCCAATATTTCACAGTAAATGGATCTAATCTGTCTTACATGATTATGTACTTCCTAAAACTTGTATATGCCAAAAATATGCCTAGGCAATTCTGGGACCACCTTTGTTATCATCACTAACTAAAAAAGTCCTCATACTGAAACCAGAGTTCTCCTGTCTTCCTGAGACCTGTGGTCTGAATGCCACTGCTCAGGTTGGTCTGTTGACTATGCTGTATCTGACCAGAAGTCTTAGAAGAGAAAAGAAGCTCTCTGTGTAACTCTCTTAGTGCTAAGGAAGATACTTGCCATTCCGGAAAAAACAACCACCACCAAAATCTAAAGTTAGTAATAATTCTCCTGCCACAAATGAACAGAACTGCTAGATAGATTTATAACAAAACTTATTTTAAATTCATAGTTGAGCTCACAAGAAAGAAAGGGAAATCCCTATATAACAGAAACGAAGATAGAAGTGAAAACCAGACCAGTCAGTATGTAACCTGACAGACAAACTAAACTTGGGGTTATTATTATTATGTTACTGTTATTTTTGAGACAAAGTCTCATTCTGTTGCCCAGGTTGGAGTGTAGTGGTGCAATCTTGGCTCACTGCAATCTCTGCTTCCCAGTTCAAATGATTCTCCTGCCTCAGCCTCCTGAGTAGCTGAGATTACAGGTGTGCACCACCACACCCAGCTAATTTTTTTATTCTTTTAGTAGAGATGGGGTTTCACCATGTTGGCCAGGCTGGTCTCAAACTCCTGATTTCAAGTGATCCACCTACCTCGGTCTCCCAAAGTGCTGGGCTTACAGGTGTGAGCCACTGTACCCAGCCATGAACTTGGGGTTATTATTTTTATAACCTAGGGATTGGTTCTTATCATCCAGGACAGAAGATAGTCTAGGAACCTACCAACTGAGAAATCAACAAAAACCCCTACATGCAGGCCAATGTTTTCTCTGGAGTTCCTAGTTAATATAAAACCAAAATTTCTGTGTAGATGGACATCTACAAGGAAAGGTCACAAGGCAGTCTCACAGAAAAAACAATGCTAGTAAAGATAAGTGCACAATTAAATGTTAATAAAACACAGAAACTTCACTAGGGGATAGAATCAGAATACAAAACAGCAGAAGCAGCCTCCTCAAAATGTGAAATTAAAAAATAATAATCTGAAAGAGAATATAAAATGTGTATAGTTAAAATGAGTAAAGACACATTCAAGAAGGAATCAAAATACTAAGGAAGAAAATACATCAAAAGCCTGGCGCAGCGGCTTGCATCTGTAATCCTAGCATTTTGGGAGGCCTAGGTGGGAGGATCGCTTGAGGCCAGGAGTTCAAGACCAGCCTGGGCAACATGACAAAACCCCATATGTACTAAAAATACAAAAACTAGCTGAGTGGTGGCATGCATCTGTAATTCCAGCTATTCGGGGAGCTGAGGAATGAGAACTGCTTGAACTCAGGAGGTGGAGGCTGTAGTGAGCCGAGATCACGCCACTGCACTCCAGCCTGGGCGACAGAGCCAGACTCTGTTTAAAAAAAAAAAAAAAAATTATAAAAAAAACCATGTGAGTTTCTGAAAAAGAACAAAATAGAACTTATAGAAAAAAAATGAAGGGGAAAAAAAACAATGACAACAACTCAATAGGTAGTATTAAGTAGCAGCTAAATAATTTATGAACTACAAGATATTTACCCAGAGCCCACTATATGCAAGAGGGGTTAAGCAATGTAGAGGAAAGAGGAGGTTATGTCTAATAAAAAGTGAAGAAGGGGAAAATAGTGAGAAATGGAGAAAGAATAATATTTGAAGAGATAATGTATGAAAAATCCCCAAAATTGATGAAAGATATCAACCCTCAGATCAAAAAGCACAATTCATGAGCAGAAAAACTAAAGCTGAGTCTAGATACACTATTATAAAAATACAGAACACTGAAGACAAAGGGGAAAATCCTAAAAGAACCAGAGGAAAAAGGCAGATTACTTTTAAAGGAATAATTAAAATGATTTCTCAACTGTAACCACAGAGGCCAACAAAAAATTGAATATTTTTAAAGTGCCAAGAGAACAAAACTGTCAATCTAGAACTCTATGCTCAGCTAAACTATCAAATTAAGGGGAAAAACTTCTTAAAGACTGACAGTTTACCACTAATAGTCATTCACTGAAAAAAGCTATTGAAGAATATACTCTAAAAAAAAGAAAACTGAACCTAAAGAAGGGAGGAGTGGGATTTAACGAGCAAGAATGAACAAAAAAATTGGTAAACATGTGGGCTTATGAAGCCACCATAATAATTATTACTCATTTGTGATGATTTAAAAACAAGGTAAAACTAAAATATTAGACAAAAGAAATAATGCAGATGGGAGAAAATAATTAGTATTCAGGAAAAAGGTAAAACAATTCACATTAAAGTTATGGTTTTTAAACTCTGATGTGCATCAGAATCACCCAAAATGCTTGTCAAAAATAGACTGCTGGGCCCTACCCCTCAAATTTTTGATCCAGGTCTCGGGTAGAGGCTGAGAGGCATTCCTAACATGTTCCAAGGTGATAATGATAATGGTGCTCCAGGACCACTTTGAAAACTAATGCATATGATTTTAAGTCAAATAAGTACGTTAAAAATTAAAAGGTAAACCCTCAAATAACTAAAGTAGAATACAACTGATCCTTGAACACAGGTTTGAACTGTGTGGGTCTACGTTTATGCAGATTTTCTTCCACCTCTGCCATCCGAGACAGCAAGACTGACCCCTCCTTTTCTTCCTCCTCCTCTTCAATATGAAGAGGACAAGGATGAAGACCTTTATGATGATTCATTTCCACTTAACAGAAAACATATTTTTCCCGTATAATTTCTTTTCTTTTCTCTGGTTTACTGTAAAAGAACACAGCATATAATACATATAACATACAAAGTATGTGTTAATCAACTGTTTCTGTTATCAGTAAGGCTTCCAGTCAACAGTAGGCTATAAGTTCTGGGAGAATCAAAAGTTACATGTGGATTTCTGACTGCGTGGGGGCCTAGTGTCCCTAATCCGCATGTTATATGGTCAACTGTATAACCCAAAGAAGGGAAAAAGGAGGAGTCAAGAAAAATAAATCCATCTCAAAAAGGCAGAAAAGGAAAAAAAGATGGCAGAAATAAATCCAACTCAATTGAGTAATCACAATGAATATGAAAGGACTAAATTCACTGGTTAAAAGACAGACATACGCTGGATAAAGAAAATTCTGCTATACGTAATTAAGATGGTGTGCGAAATGGCACAGAGATAGATAAAATGACCAATTAAGTAGAATAGAGAACCCAGGCCAACCCAGGCACATAGGGAATTCTGATATATGACAGAAATGACACTGAAGGTCACTGAGAGAAGGATAGTCTATCAATAAATAAAGCCAAGACAACCGGTTATTCATAAAGGAAAAAGTTCAACTTAGAATACTTAAATGTACTTGTATGTGAAAAGCAAAATTTAAAACTTTTAGACAAAAATATAGGAGTAGGGAAGGATTTCTTAACAAGACACACAAGGAGCTAACCAGAAAAGGTTGCTAAATTCAACTAACTCAAAATCAAATCCAGTGTCATCAAAAGATGCTAAGTAAAAAAGATAAGCATAATGTTTGAAAAGACTTTTGTAATACATATAACTGAAAAGGAATTGAAATGCAGAAGAGATAAAGAACACATTTAAATCAATAAGACCAATAGGGCCAGGAACAATGCCTCACACCTGTGATCCCAGCACTTTGGGAGGCTGAAGCGGGAGGACTGCTTGAGCCCAGGAGTTCGAGGTTACACTGAACTATGATTGCACCACTGCACTCTAGCCTAGGTGACAAAAAGAGACTGTCCCAAAACACACAGAAAGACAAGACTAATAATGAATAAACAATGATTCATCATTTTAAACCCATGAGGTTGGAAAACATTAAGAAATTTATAAAACCAATGTCACAGGATCCATCAAAGAAACCCTTATAATACCTGCTAGTGGTATAAATCAGTAAAGTCATTTCTGGAAAACAACATTATTTTGTAAAATTGAGCATACTCCGCAATGCACTCCCACAAATATAACCTTACACCTTTCCTCCAGAAGACATGACAAGACCTGAGAAAAAACCCCAAATGTCCCTCTATAGGAGAATGGGTCCACTGTGGTCTATTCCCATAGTAGATTCTGTACGTCAGTGAAAATGAATGAACTATGGCCACAAACAACACGGATAAACAAAAGCAAATCCAAATAAAAGAGCAAATCCTAGAATATCGTATCATTTTTTAAAAGTTTAAAATACGACATATATATGATAAAACTGTTTTTTAAAAAAGCAGAGAAAGTAAAAATCTTTGTCACTGGTTACAGGGAATGGGGATGACAGAAGGTTGAGATAAGAAGGGAGCATCTAAGTGGATGCCAATAATGGTAGATTGGTTAAAGGGAGGTAGTATCATGAATACTCCTAGATATTAATATGCTTTATATCTTAACTTCATAACTTAAGCTAGTGTGTGTTTACATATGTACATATATTTTTCCATTGCATGGTATACATAAAATAACATATTTAAAAAGAAAAAATGAGAGGCCGGGCATGGTGGCTCACGCCTATAATCCCAGCACTTTGGGAGGCTGAGGTGGGCGGATCACCTCAGGTCAGGAGTTCGAGGCCAGCCTGACATGGAGAAACCCCGTCTCTACTGAAAATACAAGATCAGTCCGGCATGGTGGCATGCACCTATAATCTCAGCTACTTGGGAGGCTGAGGCAAGAGAATCTCTTGAACCTGGGAGGCAGAGGTTACAGTGAGCTGAGATCGTGCCATTGCACTCCAGCCTGGGAAACAAGAGTGAAACTCCGTCTCAAAAAAAAAAAAAAGAAAAAGAAAAAGAAAAAGAAAAAAATGAGAGAAAAGATTACTAAAATATGTTAATATTCATTGCAATAAGAAAATCCCCAGTCTAATACTTACTGGTCAAGAGTCTTATAATAAATATCCAGATCCTTGTTCACAAGTTCTGTTGTCCTCATAACAATCATCATTTCTCTATACTTTTCCTCAGCATCCCGAAATTGTGGTTCTCGAAGTTCTTTCTTAAAATGAATAATTTCTTCCTCATAACCTTTCTGTCGCCCTAATGCCAAACTGTGATTTCTTTTTATATTGTCTATGTTCTCTTCCAACTTCTGATGTTCACTGTAAAGAATGAAAATGACAAATGAGGACCATTTTTTAGCTTTTAACAATCTGAAGTGGAAAAGTCATAGATTTCTTTAGACAGGTTAAGTATCATTCTCCTTAGGAATCGTGTAACAGAGTCTCTCCTTGCTTATTATTTAGGGCTTTGGTACTAAAAAAAAAACAAAAACAAAACCCTCTCTTCCTTCCATATCTCTGCCCCCCATAGGTTGCTAAACAGCTAATTTTTGTGTGTTGAACAGAGAACCCTCATAGCATGTTATCACTGATAAAGTTCCCGGCCTTTAGACGCTAAGCATTCTGGTGATTAATATTACAAATTCACAAACTTCTGATTGTGAGCTGAGAATGCACAATTATCAACACTAAGAAGTTATGGATAACAGGCTTCATCATTTTGCTCATGTCAAAGGCATAACACGAATTAAATCATATATTAATTATCTGCAGTAATACCTATTAAAAATCTAGATTCCTCCATGAAAACAAAATTTCTCTTGCCCAAGTATAAAACCCATAGTAATGACCAAAAGAAGTAAAATATTCAAACTTTTCTGATAATTTGGCAGACTGTACAAATTTCAACGTTTGCTTTAAAAATCTTCATTTGTTTAACAATCACTTATTAAGCATCCTCATGTGTCAGGCACTGCTCTCAAGTTTATGGGCATCCTTACAGAGTTGACTGGATTACATGTCTTGTTGGCATTTCTGTTATGTCCTGGTTGAAGAAAGGTTTGAAAAATAGTTGTACTTAGTAATGTGAATGAATGTAAAAAGTACTGTTATATACCAATCACAGAAGAAATTTTTAAAATATCTGGTTTTGGTCTTTAGTAGCCACGAATATATTATTTCATTTCAAAATTTCTTCTAGAAGCATTACTCTTCCAACTTGCCATGGAGAGCATAGTGTAAAAGAACTGAGGCTTGGAAACTAGCATATTAAGGTCATATTCTTGGCTTTCATCATAATTTCCTCTGTGATTTTTCTGGGTCTAAGTGTGTATAATGCATTAAAAAAAGAAGATTCTGAAGATGATGAGCTCTTCTAATTATAAAATCTGATTTCCCTGATATAGGAAAGAGATTTTAAATAGCTAAACTAAGAGTACTTAAACATAACACAGGATTAACCATTTGTTAGGCTTTATAAATAAAGTTAAAATTCACTTTACTATATCCTTTAGAAAAACCTGAGCATTTTTTTAATTCATATTTCCATATAAATTCAAGAAGACATGAAAACTCTACAAGGAAAGGTTTAATAAATGAGAAGCCTGGATTTAACCAGGTGAGATGGTTCGCAATCTATGTATTTGCCTAGTACAACCTTTTATACCAGTCTAGTGCCTTAGCATCAACAAGGTTCTTACAGAATTCCTAAGGCAACTCTAAGGCAGTCAAGGCAGGAATAAAATCTTTTCTGGTCTACCAGGAAGGCAGCAACTACAATAAGTAACCATAAGACCAGATAAAGGAAGAATGAGACTCATCTTTCAAAAGAAATGCTCTGGTGGACACATAATTACAAATGAGAAAATCTAGACTGAATCTCTGTGGATAAATCACTGGCAACAACTCCACTGACAATATTATAGACTGTACAATCTCTGACCCAGGCAAGGTCCACAGCTCCATATTCTTTATGCTTAGTACCACTATTTTGTGCAGCAGGCTAGCAGATGTATGGGGACTAAGCATGTTCAATACTGAATAACTATGGCTCATCACTACAATGTGATTACCAATTCTGTATCACTTCTGCAGTAATAAAGTTCTTAAGGCCATGAAATATAATTGTATCGAAACACTGTTCACCTTCTAGTAATTCTCAAAGGATACTAGGCTGAGGCTAAAATTCATTTAAAACAGGTATTTAACATTCTTCACATTCCAATAATAAAGACTTTTATTTAAACCGAAGATTATTTTAAAAGCATACTTTTTCATTTGCAAAACCTGCATTTGACCCATTTCCTTCAAATGTTGTTTTCTTTCTTCTTCAACTTCTTTTAGTTCCTCATTTCTTTTTCTTAAAGTAAGGTTATCCTGTAGCCACCTTTCTTGTATCTAAAGGTAAACATTAAATTAGTTAACAAAAATAACCAAGTTACTAACATGAAATCTGTAACAGGCAACTGCTGATAGGAAGTGCCATGTCTGTCTTAGAATCATGTGAAGTTCAACAGAGGGAGAACAAGCCAGTGTGAAGGAATCTCCAGGTCTGGGGCAATCTGGATGGCCCATCCCCACCCATAGTCACAAGTGTAATACCTCCTGTAGTGCAGCTTTTACTGCTCTTTCATGACCATAATCTAAAAACCAGGTCTACTGTTTGATGGGGAGTCTCACAATGATGTGAGCATATATCTATGTACTTATTTACTTATACAGTATTAAAATATTTAGAAAACAATGCTATGAAATGGTGTTCACTTAAAAACATACAAAACAGAAATTTTAAATGGTAAAATTAAAAATATAACTAGATATTTTAATACCTATATCCCCAGTGGATCATTCTGCATAGGAACTCCATGATAAAGCCTACTGACCTAAAAGATCATAAGAGATCAATACTACTATTGAAGTCTTCCCCAACTTTTTCTTCCTAGTTCTGTCTCCCAACATGTACCAAGACTATTAGAACCTGTGAGGTATATGTTACCTACAGCTTCTACCTTTAGGCTGACAAATAATCATCACTCAAGGCAAGAAGAAGTGCCACAATAGTACTATATATCTATGAACTTGATACTTTCTTAGCCACTGAAATGAAATTTCAAAAAATTGGCTGTTCTTGTTGAGTAGTTTTGTCCTTCAGAAAAGACTCAATCACACTTAGCAGCAGCAGCAACAACAAAATTATTTCAGTGGTTTTCCTGGTGATCAAAACGAACTATGGTGTCAAGAGACAATCATTAGAAAACAGTTTGTAAGTTGATTCTTTGGAATTTAAGAAAAAAAAAAAATTCCTGCAGAAAGAAATTGGTCCACAAATCCTGTGTGTAGAAAACTTATCCTGAGTTTGGAGTAAGGATTTCTCAAAGAGGGAGGTGGGACCCTCCTGCAATAGCCCTTGCAGCTAAGCTAAACTCAGTGATGCGGGAAGTGAGAGAGATAGACAGACCTGTGGCAATATCTTGCACCAACAGTAAAGGCCAGGGACTGGTAGATGGGAGAGGGAAATCAAGGATTTCTCTCACATGCTTAATGTTCATATCCAATTCTGCCCATCTGTGTGTGATTATTTTTAGAGTTTTTTTTTTTTTCTTTTTTAACAGAAAGTAAGGCTACCTTCATTTTTCCTGGAAATAATATAAACATACAGTTTATCCACAGGGTCCACATCTATGGATTCAACTAACCATGGATCAAAAATACTGGGGAAAAAAATACAATAAAAAGTAACAGTACAATAAAAAAACACAAATTTAAAATAATACAATATAAAAACTACATATCATTTACATATTAATATCAAAAGCAATATAGAAATTAAAGTATATCACAGGATATGGATAGGCTATATGCAAACACTAGATATGCCATTTTATATAAAGGACTTGAGCATCCTAGATTTCGGTATCTGTTGTATTGGGGGGTCCTGGAACCAATCCCCCCCGAGAGATACTGAAACAACTGAATACATATCTACTAAAGGCATTATTATAGGCAGTTAAAGGTGACTAAAATGGCATGGTTATAAATGTCCTTTGTTGCTAAGGCAACCTAATGTGCCACTGTAGCTGCTGTGACTTACCAAGGTTCTACTATGGGGGACTATACTTGTTGTTCCTTGTTAGGAACAAGGGAATGTGCTACTACTTACTTTCATCTAATACCATAGAACATTTGAATTTGCTTTCACGATTGCATGAAAGGACTCTTTAAAGTGCTATCACATTTCTAGATGAGATTGATTTTTGGCACAAAATATTGTTGCTGGTCTGTCTACCTGCATTGTTACCAGAAAGCTAGGCATTTCTTTCTTTTAAGTCAGCTTCCATTATTCTTCTAGTTTTCAAAGACAGTATATACCACAACAAGAGTACAATGCTTCGAAGTCAGATACATCTAGGCTCAAATCAGTGTTATTACTTTTAAACTGGATAACTTTGGGCAAATTAGTTTAAATTCTCTGAACCTCAGTTTGCTTGTAACATGGTCAATAATACTACCTATCATAAAGAACTACTGTGTGGCCGGGTGCGGTGGCTCACACCTGTAATCCCAGCACTTTGGGAGGTCAAGGCGGGTGGATTACTTGAGGTCAGGAGTTTGAGATCAGCCTGGTCAACATAGTGAAACCCCACCTCTACTAAAATTACAAAAATTAGCCAGGCCTGGTGGCACTCGCCTGTAGCCCCAGGTACTTGGCAGGTTGAGGCAGGAGAATTACTTGAACCCGGGAGGTGAAGGTTGCAGTGAGCCGAGATTGTGCCACTGCACTCCAGTCTGGGTGAGAGAGCAAGACTCCATCTCAAAAAAATAAATAAATAAATAAATAAAGAAGTATTGTGAAGATTAAAGGTATGAGTGTATGTAATCAATATAGTGCCTGACTCAGTAATCGCTAATAAAATGCCTTTTGGGTCAAATTTGTCCTTTGTACTTTAAGCAGTGAGAATTCCAATTATAGTCTACAAAATATAAAATATTAGAGAAATGAAGGGGAAAAAAAATCAGATGCAGTTATAGTGTATCACAACTATTTTTTCCATTCTACTAGAAATCTGATAGTGTAGGCACCAGTTCTACCTGTTACTACTTTTTGGGACCTTGAGCAAGTCAGGTCACCTCCAGTTCTCTTCATATATTCCTTCATCTGAAAACTGAGAAAGGCGGTTTATTAAGTTTCCAAATTATTTTATTCTGTGGACTAAATTTAGCAGGGCTTAGATCAGTAGGTAAACAAGTGACTGTTAGGCTCCTCAGCTCTTAAATATTAACCCCAACTATCCAACTCAGACGACAGTTAATGCATGCAGCTGGTCACCTATGGAAACATAAAAATTAGCTGCATTCTAGACACCTGTGAGAGAGTGGCATGCTGAACAGATTACAGTCCAATGTCCACCAAAAGTATGGCTGGGAATAACGCCACTTCTAGAAGACTGCCTGAAAGCTATGCAGTCCATCCAGTGCTGGCTCAGTTACTGACAGCTAAGGGTATACATCAGAAGCTCTAAGGAATTTCAACAAAACACACATATCTCTGCCGAAACCCCCAAGATTCTGATTTACTGTTGTGGATTGGAGACATAGACTTTTTTTTTAGACAGGGTCTTGCTCTGTTGCCCAGGCTGGAGTACAGTGGAACAATAAGAGTTCACTGCAGCCTTGAACTCCCCAGCTCAAGCAATCCCCCGACTTCAGCCTCCGGAGTAGTTGGGACTACAGGTGCGCACCCTCACACCTGGCTAATTTTTTGTAGAGATGGGGTTTCGCCATATTGCCAGGATAGTCTGGAACTCCCAGGCTCAAGCAATCTGCCTGCCTCGGCCTCCCAAAGTGCTGGGATTACAGGCATGAGCCACTGCACCTGGCCAACACATGTATTTTTAATAACCTAAGTGATTTAAAAAAACTGAGATGTAATTAATATTCCACAAAATTCACTATTTAAATGTGTACAATTTAGCAGTTTTAGTTTATTTAGGTGGTTATACAACCATCACCACTATCCAATTCCAGAGCATTTGATCACCCCAAAAGGAAATCTCATATTCAATAGCAGTCACTCTATTCCTTCCTCACCTCTAGCCCCTGAAAACATTAATCTGCTGTCTGTCACTGGATTTACCTAATCTGTACATTTATTATAAGTGGAATCATACATTATGCAGCCTTTTGTGACTAGCTTCTTTTGCTTAGCATGTCTTAAGGGTTCATGCATGTTATAGCATGTATCCTTTTTATGGCTGAATAATATTCCATTATATGGATATACCATATTTTGTTTATCTGCTCATTAGTTGATGGTCATTTGGGTGTGTCCATATTTTGACTATTACAAATAATGCTGCTACGAGCATTCTTGTACAAGTTGTTGTGGGAACATATGTCTTCAATTTTCTTAGTTCTATACCTAGAAGTGGAAAAACTCAGACGATTTACAGGTGCCCCTAGCTAAGAACCTTTGCTTTCTAAACACTAACATTTATTTCAGGCTTCAATCATACCACCTTCTACAGAACCTCATATCAAGGAATAATGATGCTGAAATACACTGTATTTTTTTCTTTTTTATAAGCCCTATGAAGTCTGTTGAAGACTATACATGTCTTCCTTTCTATGAATAGTCAGTAGTCAGTACAGGAAACTGGTCTCCTTTTAGCACTGACACAATGTGAATCTTGACTAATTGTGACTTCCTCTCTTCTTTTTTTTTTAAATACGGAGTCTGGTTCTGTCACCCAGGCTGGAGTGCAGTGGCACAATCTTGGCTCACTGCAAGCTCTGCCTCCCAGGTTCACGCTTCTCCTGACTCAGGCTCCTGAGTAGCTGGGACTACAGGCGCCCACCACCATGCCTGGCTAATTTTTTGTATTTTTTAGTAGAGACGGGGTTTCACTGTGTTAGCCAGGATGGTCTCGATCTCCTGACCTCGTGATCCGCCTGCCTCGGCCTCCCAAAGTGCTGGGATTACAGGCGTGAGCCACCGTGCGCCTGGCCTTTTTTTTTTTTTTTTTTTCTTTTGAGACAGAGTTTCACTCTTGTCACCCAGGCTGAAGTGCAATGGCGTGATCTTGGCTCACTTGCAACCTCTGCTTCTGAGGTTCAAGTGATTCTCCTGCCTCAGCCTCCTGAGTAGCTGGGATTACAGGTGCGTGTCGCCATACCTGGTTAATTTTTGTATTTTCAGTAGAGATGGGGCTTTACCATGTTGGCCAGGCTGGTCTTGAATTCCTGACCTCAGGTGATCCACCCACCCTGGCCTCCCAAAGTGTTGGGATTACAGGCGTGAGTCACTGCACCCGGCCTCCTCTCTTCATTTGACTACTAGAATCTTTAGCAAGCACATCAGACTTCATGCAAACGTTTTATACACTTCTCTCCTGGTTTCATTACTTTCTTGCCCTAATTTCTACTCTGCCTTGTTTTCCCATTAATCTGAAATACACTTATCTTTGCTCTATTGTATATAACTAAGTAAACAATTTCTGGAACAAGGAAGGTTACAAAATAAACTAATACCATCAGATCCACTAAATTTAGACTATCACCTTAAAAGGTTCATAGATTATTAATCTTAACAATTTCGTATATGTATACAGAGAGCTGCTGCGAATTTATAGACTGTGATTTTTATATAGGCAACTACATAAAAGCTAGAGATATTTTGTTATATATGCATCATAAATGTACACATTATTCAATATGTATTAGGCCAGGCAGAGATTTGATTTCCCTTTGACTCGATATTTCATATATTTGAAATTCTTGGTGCTACAGAAAGAGACCCAGCAGAAAACTAATGTAACTAATCTTCCAAATGATTTTTAGCAATGACTTATAACCGAGTGGTTAAGGCATTCAAATAGTAAATTTTGTTTAAAACAGTAAGAACAGAGAAATGGTATAGTTTTTAAAGGCATTAACTACCATGCTTGCATAAAGCATGTGATGATGGCTTTTTGAAATGATTTTGATTATACGATAGAAATTAATTTCGTTAATAGAGAAAATAAATGATAAAGGGATCAACTGGAAAATGACCTAATATATATTTTCCTTACAGATAACGTTCAAGATTATTAAACCTTAATCCCACTTTTGTGAATTTATGCTACATAAAGATATGTTAGAATAAGAAAAGATACAGATATATGTTAAAGATATTCACTGTCACACAGTTTATGATAAGGAAATGAAATCAATCTGAGTAAGTTCTGGTATATGCACAAAATGGACTATAATCATTAAATCATTAAACATAAAACACATTTGATTGTGTTTTTATTTATTGTGCTTAAAGAATTTTCTTTTTTGTAGCAAAAAGAAACTGATCATTAAAATCATTAAATGATCATTCAAAAGAATGTGATATATCTGTGAGTTGATATGTAAAATCAAATTAAGTGAAAAAAGGTACAGAATAATATGACATGACACCATCCATAAAGGTAAATTTAAATATATATATATATACACACACACACACACACCCCTAAATGTATCTACCTATCTATCTGCTGGTATATGAATAAAACTTCTTTAAAAACAAATAAGTGTAACAGTTAATGACATGTAGAAGTGAGATTGAGAATCAGAAGAAGGGGAGGAACACTTTTAGTTTTAAGCCTTTATATTCAAACTTTAACTACGAGTCTTTTACTGAAAATAAAAATAACAAATAAATGAAATAAGAATGTTATTGGAATTATTTTTCTTTACTTTTTGTATTTCTTTTTTGAGACAGAGTCTCACTCTGTCGCTCAGGCTAGAGTGCAGCAGCGTGATCACAGCTCACTGCAGCCTCCGCCTCCCAGGTTCAGGTGATTCTCATACCTCAGCTTCCCAAGTAGCTGGGACTACAGGTGTGCGCCACCACGGCCGGCTAATTTTTGTATTTTTAGTAGAGACAGAGTTTCACTGTGTTGGCCAGTGAACTTCCAGCCTCAAGTGATCCACCCACCTTGGCCTCCCAAAGTGCTGGGATTACAGGTGTGAGCCACCAAGCTTAAGCTTGGCCTCTTTACTTTTTGCATTTCTATTCAATGGATCTTCTATTGAAAATAAAACTATAGCAAAGAATGTCATAGGTGTGACACCATAAGCAAAACAGACCTACCTTCTGTGTATCAATATCTTGTCTCATGATTCTCATATCTTCATTTATCTTTTCTTTGTGTTTCTCGCATTCACTTAGTTGAGCTATTACTTTATTAAGTTCAGTTTCTTTTTGCTACAAAAAAGAAAATTCTTTAAGCACATGAAATAAAAACACAATCAAATAAATAATTTTAAGTTTTAAATTACCTTCTTATAGTCGTCTTTCCCATCTTGAATATAATTCTCAATGTCTTTCATATAACCATGAATATTTTTAACCTTCTCTTTAATATCATTCAGCTGTAGAAAAATATTCATTAAATTTACACTGGTTGTACTTAAGGGCACATAACAGGAGAACACAGTAAAACACTGGCTGAGAAGTTATGAACCTTGGGTTCCAGTTTCCACCACTGCTGAATTTTATGATCTCAGACAAGTCCCTTTCTCACCTATAGGAATGGATTAATTAATCTTAATCCTTAACTTCTATTTTAGATCAAGCAGCAAAATAATTTACCTCTAATCCTTGTTCTAACAAGAATTTCTAATGTCAAAATTATACCATGAATCTGAAAATACTATTTATCTTATGCTATTTAATTTCATGTGGAATAACAGTGTCCAACATGGTGCTATGAACGTAAGTTTAATACAGGTATTTGATAAGTAAATATATAAATGAAATCTTACTTTATCCTGTGCTATTTTGTTGCTTGTATTCTTTTTGTTGATTATTTCTTCTTTTTCTTGCTGGAACTTTTCCAACGTTGTTTCCAAAGGGCTTACCTGCTCTTTAGCATCCTAAAAATATAAAAAAGATAAAGTATTATATAATATTCCATTATCTTACTTTAGGTGTCAGACTTCACAGCCTTAATAAAAGCACTTTCTATGTGCCAGGCTCTAAATGTCAACGCATTTGCTCCTTTCAATGACCCTATGAGGACAGTACCATCATTTTCAGTCCTATATTTCACATGAGCAAACAGACACAGAGAATGACTTGTCCAGGGTCACAACAGCCAATAAATGAATCAGCCAAGATTTTAACCCAGTCCAGCTCCAGAGATCACTCTCTTAACCACTATGCATACTATACTGCATCAACCACTAATTTGATTCTTAATCTAGGCCATGTGCTCCCAATTATATTAGCGTGTGGCTTCAAGCATGAGTTTTCATGATTTTATAGGTACCCCTGTCACTGCTGCATGATCAAAGAATAGGAAAGCTCATTCAGTCCAGACTTTTCTTTTACAGATGAAAATACCATGGTAAAAACACTTCTGTTCTTAAGCTTAGCCTGCTAAGGCTATGCAGATATTTTATGGTAATAAAAGCATACTGTTAAACTAATGTTGGTGTGTCCACATCTATTCTGGAAGGAACGGGGCTTTCAAATAATAAACTATTTTACTAAATAGAAGTCCCCATTATTTAGCCTTGTAACACTAAATCTGCAACATAGTTATATGATAACCACAGTTCAAAACAATGGTCCCCAAGCTCTTTAAGATTCTGAAGTATTGAGTGAATCTATAGAGGTAGATACAATTATTTAGTAATTACTTCAATATATGTCTATTTTATCATACTGGGAAGTGGTATGGTGTGTTAGGAAGTCAAATGCCTTCAGTGTCAGAAGATCTATCAGAAAATCAACTCTGCTTCCTATCAGCTGCATAAACTTAGGCACTCGTGAGACATTTGTAAATCTCAATTCCTTTTTCTATAAAGAGATTTCGTCATCTAAATAGGGTTGCTGAGGCACTGAATGGTTCAATGTCAAAGTGCTTTATAAACAGTAAAAAATTATACAAATGCAAGTAGTATTATTTTAATATCATATTCTGAACCTGATATTTTGTAATCCAAAATTATTTAAGAAATAAAAATTTACAGTAATTATTCAGTAATATACTTAGTGCTTATTGAATGAGTACCCATAATTATATAAACCTAGGTAAGACTGTTTCTAAAACTGTTTATAACTGGTTGAGTCTTAGATGTGATTAATCTATATAAGGGATGTCAAAAGGATTCCAGTGGCAACTGAGTGCCTGCTCACTGTACTGGTAAGGATTCTGAAACCACATCTGGAATCAAATGGAAAGAGTGCTATGACTGAGAGTGTCTGCTATAGATAAAGGATCTGCAGATAAGACAAACCTCCTGTACAAGCAGGAATCCTTATACAGAGTTAACCAACCACCACCTGACCACCTCCAATAACATTTGCTGCTTAACCAGGCAGCCAGTTCTTCCTTATTATGGCAAACTCCTTCTTCCAGAAATCTTTACTTACTAGTACAAGTTCTATCACTTAGGAACCACACAAAGAATGATTATACCATTTTCATTTGATCCTCATAACAGCTGGTTTTCAAAGGGAATGCTTCCAGTTTTTGCCCATTCAGTATGATATTGGCTGTGGGTTTGTCATAAATAGCTTATTATTTTGAAATATGTTCCATCGATACATAGTTTATTGAGAGCTTTTAGCATGAAGGGGTGTTGAATTTTATCGAAGGTCTTTTCTCCATCTATTGAGATAATCATGTGGTTTTTGTCTTTGGTTCTGTTCATGTGATGGATTACATTTACTGATTTGCATATGTTGAACCAGCCTTGCATCCCAGGAATGAAGCCGACTTGATCCTGGTGGATAAGCTTTTTGACGTGCTGCTGGATTCAGTTTGCCAGTATTTTATTGAGGATTTTTGCATTGATGCACATCAGGGATACTGGCCTGAAATTTTCTTCTTTTGTTGTGTGTCTGCCAGGGTTTGGTATCAGGATGATGCTGGCCTTATAAAATGAGTTAGGGAGGATTTCCTCTTTTTCTATTGTTTGGAATAGTTTCAGAAAGAATGGTACTGGCTCCTCTTTGTACCTCTGGTAGAATTCGGCTGTGAATCTCTCTGGTCCTGGACTTTTTTGGTTGGCAGGCTATTAGTGCCTCAATTTCAGAACTTGTTATTGGTCCATTCAGGGATTTGACTTCTTCCTGGGTTAGACTCGGGAGGGTGGATATATCCAGGAATTTATCCATTTCTTCTAGATTTTCTAGTTTATTTGCGTGGAGGTGTTTATAGTATTCTCTGACGGTAGTCTGTATTTTCTGTGGGATTGGTGGTGATATCCCCTTTATCATTTCTTACTGCATCTATTTGATTCTTCTCTCTTTTCTTCTTTATTAGTCTGGCTAGTGGTCTATTTTGTTGATCTTTTTAAAAACCCAGTTCCTGGATTGATTTTTTTGAAGGGTTTTTTGTGTCTCTATCTCCTTCGGTTCTGCTCTGATCTTAGTTATTTCTTGTCTTCTGCTAGCTTTTGAATTTGTTTGTTCTTGTTTCTCTAGTACTTTTAATTGTGATGTTAGGGTGTCGAATTTAGCTCTTTCCTGCTTTCTCTTGTGGGCATTTAGTGCTATGAATTTCCCTCTACATACTGCTTTCAATGTGTCTCAGAGATTCTGGTATGTTGTATCTTTGTTTTCATTGGTTTCAAACAACATCTTTATTTCTGCCTTCATTTCGTTATTTTAACTGGCAGTCATTCGGGAGCAGGTTGTTCAGTTTCCATGTAGTTGTACGGTTTTGAGTGAGTTTCTTAATCCTGAGTTCTAATTTGATTGCACTGAGAGACTGTTATGACTTCTGTTCTTTTGCATTTGCTGAGAGTGTTTTACTTCCAATTATGTGGTCAATTTTAGAATAAGTGCAATGAGGTGCTGAGAGTTCTGGCCATTACACTAATAAGGAGCATTTCATATTAAAGAAACGTGGACTGAGGTGATGTATGCCTGTAATTTTGGGAGGCCAAAGCTGCATTGCTTGAGGCAGAGTTTGAGACCAGCCTGAACAACATAGTGAGACCCTGTCTCTACAAAAATTTTAAAAATTAGCCAGGCGTGGTGGGTTGTGCCTGTAGTCCCATCTACTTGAGAGGCTGAGGCAAGACGATTGCCTGAGCTCAGGAGGTCAAGGCTGCAGTGAGTGAGCTGTGACTGCACCACTGCATTCCAGCTTGGGAGAGAGGAAGACTCTGTCTCTAAAAAAGAAGAATAGGGTGGGGCATAGTGGCTCACGCCTGTAATCCCAACACTTCGGGAGGCCAAGGTAGGCAGATCAATGAGTTCAGGAGTTTGAGACCAGCCTGTCCAATGGCACAACCCCGTCTCTACTAAATACAAAAATTAGCTGGGCGTGGTGGTGCACGCCTGTAATTCCAGCTACTCGGGAGGCTGAGGCAGGAGAATCGCTTGAACCCAGGAGATGGAGCTTGCAGTGAGCCGAGATTGCACTACTGCACTCCAGCCTGGGCAACAGGGTGAGACTGTCTCAAAAAATAAAAATAAAATTAAAATAATTTCACAAAAAACATGTATGGATATTCTTACCTTTATCTCTCTGTACAAAGACTGAACTTCAGTGGATAATTCCACAGTCTGCTCCTCCAGTTGCTGACGACGTTGCAAATTAGTGGATATCTGAAGTTTCTCAGATTTTAGCTCATTTGTTATACTTTTTAGATGTTGAATCTGTTCCTGCTGGTCCTGTATAAGCTTACGATTCAATTCAATCTTACTAGAAACTACACAAGAACATATTAACACAGTAATTAATGTAAGGGTATAGAAAATACTATTTGTATAATTCTTCCCATTTTTATTAGTCTATGGAATCCACAAATGCTGAGTTTCTGTGGGCCCCACCCACTGCAACAAACATATAACGAGAACCCTGCTAGCTCCCAAATCAGCTTGATGTCCCCTGCTGACCACTCACAGGGAAAGCTCGCAGGGCAGGTATGACTGAGAAAGAATATAGCTCATGGCCAGGCGCACTGGCTCATGCTTGTAATCCCAGCACTTTGGGAGGCCGAGGCGGGTGAATCCCGAGGTCAGGAGTTTGAGACCAGCCTGACAAACACAGTGAAACCCCGCCTCTACTAAAAAATACAAAAATTAGCTGGGCGTGGTGACGAGTGCCTGTAATCCCAGCTACTCAGGAGGGTGAGGCAGGAGAATCACTTGAACCTGGGAGGCGGAGGTTGCAGTGAGCTGAGATTGCACCACTGCACTCCAGCCTAGGCAACAAGAGCAAAATTCCATCTTAAAAAAAAAAAAGAAAAAGAATACAGCTTATTTGACACTCTCCTACTATTCAAAATCTGTTGTGCAAAGTAAGAGAACAAAGAGAAGTGATGCTTTTCAGAAAAAAAGAGCGAATATACTGTGGACTGGAAGGAACTTCCTTGTCTATGTAACAGGTATAAAATTGAGTATAAAAGGCATGTGCTGGCAATGTTGAAGTCTCTATGGGTACAGAAGGACACAGACTGTATTACCTGTGTCTAACTTGTGCTGTTTCTCTTGTTTCTCCTGGTTGACTTGTTGGACAGTTCGATCTAAGTCTATTCCTTGTAGCTTAGCTGCTTGTTGTGCAATTTTTCTTTCAACATCTTTAAGTTCCATCTTAAGAATATAACAAAATTATTTCCTTTAATAAACTTACTGCATTATTCAAAATCTTTAAAAATTAATTGCTATTATCATTTTTTAAATCTAAACTTATAAACCATTTCCAGATACAATTTTAGCAAAGTGTAACAGTATAAAAGTGAAATGATGTAAACAAAAGGAAGCTGACTAAAAATGAAAAACAAACAACTGTCTTAATTTTTAAATTTATGAATTAAAAAATTTAAACCCAGGGATGTAAACTAAGCAGTTGCTCCCTGAGGGCATCTGAAATTCAGGATGGGGAATTCTAAACACAACCTGTACCTGAATACTAGCTACTATTTTTAACTCTCACACTTCAAATTCAAGCTACCATGGAGCAAGTTTTATTCTGCCTTAAACTACAATAAACTTACCTGGAACCTCTCCATAATTGTAACATCTGTCAGGCACACTTTAGCACTTTCTTCTTCAGGCATTATTGTACCCAAGAGTGTTTCTTGTTCTTCTATGTCATTCTTTAGGCGCTGTATGTCTCTATTGACATTCTGCAATTTGTTTCTTAATTCTGGTATTTCCTTCTCCTTCAAATCAATTATGCTTTGCCTAAATAGAAAACACAATTAAAAATAAAGTATCTGATGTTTCTCACAGTTAGACTGAGGTTTTGTGTATTTTTAGGAAGAATACCACAGAAGTGACATTGGGGTATCCTATCAGTGGGTAGAGAATCATGATATCAATATGTCTTATTACTGATGATGTTAATCTTTATTCACTTGGCTTAGGTGGTGTCGGCCAGGTTTCTCCACTGTAAAGTTACTGTTTTGGTCTTTGTAATTAATAAGTATCTTAGGAGAGAAATGTTGAGACTACGTAAATATCTTGCTTCTCCTCAACTTTCTGCCTACTGATTTTAGTATCCACTGACAGATCTTCCTTGCAATAATTATTACTGTGGTGTTTGTCAAACTGAGAAATAGTCTACTAATGAACTGGTCATATTCACCAAAAGTGTTAAGGTCATGAAAGATAAAGACAGACTGTTACAGACTGCAGGAGCCTAAGGAGAAATAACAACTAGATGCTATGTGGGATCCTGCACGGAACCCTGAAACACAAAAGGCATTGATGGAAAAACTGCTAAATTCGATGTAGTCTGTAATTTAGTTAGTAGCATTATACCAATGTTAATCCTGGTTTTGATAACTGTATTATAACAGAGTACATAAATAGTTAATATCAGGAGAAGCTGGGTGAGGGATATATGTGAATAATTTGTATTATTTTTATAATTTTTCTGTAAACCTAAAATTATTTCAAAATAACTTTTTAAATTACAGGAATAAAAGGAAGGAAACCAGCCATTAAGTCAAATGCTACATGGGTTTAAGGTACAAAATGTCAACCGATTTTACTGGTACTCATTACTCTAGCTAATGAACTACTGCCTCCATGGCAGGTACTGACAACTATTTTTGCTGATGCCTCTGAAACAATAACACAAATTTAATCTTTTAAAAAAATTTACTTCAGAAATATTCCAAATTCTTATTTAAAATTATATGGAATTAGTATGACAAAGCAGTATGATAAATTAAACTGGTCTCTAATGGGAGTCTTATTATAAACTAAAAGAATAACCAGAAACTCAAGTGGCTACTACTTAATGATTTTTTAAAAATGCAAACTATGATCAAGAAATGCCAACCTGACCTGTGGCAACAGACTTATAGTTTTTATTTTTTAATTTTTAATTTATTTACTTTTTATGCTTTAAGTTCTGGGGTACAGGTTTGTTACATAGGTATACACGTGCTACGGTGGTTTGCTGCACCTATCAACCCATCATCTACATTAGGTATTTCTCCTAATGCTATCCTTCCCCTAGTCCCCCACCAGCTGACAGGCCCCAGTGTGTGATGTTCCCCTCCCTGTGTCCATGTGCTCTCATTGTTCAGCTCCCACTTATGAGTAAGAATATGTGGTGTTTGGTTTTCTGCTCTCCTGTGTTAGTTTGCTGAGAATGATGGTTTCCAGCTTCATCCATGTCCCTGCAAAGGACATTAACTCATCCTTTTATATGGCTGCATAGTTACTCCATGGTGTATATGTGCCACATTTTCTTTATCCAGTCTATCACTGATGGGCATTTGCGTTGGTTCCAAGTCTTTGCTATTGTGAGTAGTGCCGCAGTAAACACATGTGCATGTCAGACCTATAGTTTTTTATACCACAGAAATAGGAGGTATTATTATTCCATATGAGTATAACAAATATGAAGGCATGGAGATTATGAATAATTCCATGCCAATGTTACCTCTTGAACACTGTTGTCACAGATCAGTAGTTGGCCTTAAATTATGTGCCCAATATCTAAAAAGTAACATAGCTATGATAGCCTAATAATGATTGCCAAGCATTTATTAAACTGGGGACATCTCTGTGAAGAACTATAGGTATACATACAGTTTTAACCCTATTTTTACATTTTCATACACACACACAAAATCTTTCATCAGTATGGTCCAGGTTTTGGTGCACTCTTTTTTGATGATTACCTAAGATGTTAAAAGAAGTGTTCTGGCTGGGTGTGGTGGCTCATGCCTGTAATACCAGCACTTTGGGAGGCTGAGGCTGGTGGGATCACCTGAGGTCAGGAGTTCAAGACCAGCCTGGCCAACATGGTGAAACCTCATCTCTACTAAAAATACAAAAAATTAGCAGGGTGTGGTGAAGGGTGCCTATAATCCCAGCTACTCGGGAAGCTGAGGCTAAAGAACTGCTTAAACCCAGGAGGCGGAGTTCAAGTGAGCCGAGATTTGTGCCACTGCACTCCAGCCTGGGCAATAAGAGTGAAACTCTGTCTCAAAAGAAGTGTTCTAAGAAAAAGCAGAGAAGCTTCCCTGAAGAATGCACTAGAGAGATCTATTAGGGTTCTCTGGGTTTGTTTTTCATTTTTATGACATTTTATTTTTTATATTCAAGAGTTAATTTTTCTCATGGTTCACAAGGTTTTAAAAAATATTTTCGATAAATCTTAATTGTAAACATTTATGGGGTACAATGTGATGTTCTATGTACACAATGTACAATGATTAAAGGTAATTTAGCATATCCATTACCTTGCCTATCATTTTTTATAGACAGATATTTGAAATTTACTCTTTGGATTTTTGTTTTCTCAGAAACTCAATTCACCTATTTTTGGACAGCATTCCTTTTCTAAGGGGATTGTGTGTAAAAAGGCCCACAGAGATATGGTACTGAAAAACACCTGTGGGAGAAATGGGGGGGAAATACCAATTGAGTTTGTATTCAAATGAGGTGCTATAATAAATGAATCTGAGTCAGTACTATACAAAATGATAAACAGGTATATTTTCAGCTGAGTTCTCAGTCATGATGTTAGTTTTACATTAGGTACTGGTGAATCTGAGGCTTTAAATGAAGTATTTCCCGCAAAGAAGCAAGATATAGCTCCCTACTACTACTCTGAGCTCATCTTCCACAACTCTTCCCTTTGGCCTTCCGGTCAAATATGTCTCAGAGATTTTGTACTGCCTGCAATATTATTCTGGACAACTGCATGGCTGGCTCCCTCACTTCTCTCAAGTTTCCACTCCAATGCCACCTTCATCAAGTCCCCCCCACCACCCTTCAGCTACTCCCTATTCCCTTATCTTGCTGTATTTTTCTCGATGCCCCTGATCATCCCCCGGTGTATTATATATTCACTTATTTGTCATCCATCTCCTCCCCACTGGAATATAAACTCCATGAGGGCAGGGACTTTGTCCATTTTGTTTACTGCTGTATTACCTGCACTCCAGTAGACTGCCTATCTTGGCTGCACGAATAAACAGTTCTCATGATAGTGTTGGCATCAAGGGCATATTCTAAAGGTGAAAAGGCAAATGGCACACAGATAAATTTAATCTTGTTACTTTACTCCTCTTCACCAATAACCTTCCACCTAAGTGACTATCATAAATAGACCTCCACAATGTCTCTGAAAGTGACCCCAGGGGATATCTGAAAGTAGTGTCATAACCAGAGGTGGTAGGAAGCTTAATGACCATGTAAGTCAATCTCCTCACTTTATGTGGGGGATACTAAGGCCCAAATGAGTTAAGTAACATCCTTAAGGTCACCCAGCAGAGTTGGAATTTGAAATCAACCTGACTGTACCCTTAGGCAATTGCTTTCCTATATTTCAAAAAACAAAACAAAACAAAACAAAAAGTCCTCTTGGTTGAGCATGGTGGCTCATGCCTGTAATCCTAGCACTTTGGGAGGCTGAGGATTGCTTGAGCCTAGGAGTTCCAGGCTTCAGTGAGCTATAATCAGTTACACCACTACCCTCCAGCCTGGGCGACAGGAACAAGACCCTATCAATCAATCAAGTCCTCTTAATTCATTATTGACCTTCCATTTGTGGATTTATTTAAACTTTAAAAAAACGTGTTTTCCATCCTGGCTAACATGGTGAAACCTCGTCTCTACTAAAAAATACAAAAAACTAGCCGGGCGAGGTGGCGGGCGCCTGTAGTCCCAGCTACTCAGGAGGCCGAGACAGGAGAATGGCGTAAACCTGGGAGGCGGAGCTTGCAGTGAGCTGAGTTCCGGCCACTGCACTCCAGCCTGGGCTACAGAGCGAGACTCCGTCTCAAAAAAAAAAAAAAAACAAAAACAAAAAACAAACAAACAAACAAAAACGTGTTTTATAATGTTATTTCCTACTATTGGGAAGAAGACTTCCTCTCTCATTTGTCCCAAACTCATCCTTCTCCAGTTTTCCAGAATGGCCCACTGACATTCTGTTAAGAGCTTGCTAAACAAACGGGGGTTCATCATTTCCCTGCTCTTCAGGTTTTCAAGTTTTGGTTCCTTTATGAAAATGGTTTCCCCACACACGTGTCCTCACTTAGCAGCCCTGCCAGCATCTTGGTCCATTTTTAGTGCTTCCTCTAGGCTTTTTCTAGCTTCAGGTTCTCTTAAAATGTGTGGTAACCAGACATTTAACTGGCTAAACTAGCCAGGTAGATAACCTAGCTGAGCCCAGTCATCCCATGAAACCATGAAAAACTAATCACTGTGAGACAGTTCTTTTTTTTTTTTTTTGAGACGGAGTCTCGCTCTGTCACCCAGGCTGGAGTGCACTGGCTAGATCTCAGCTCACTGCACGCTCCGCCTCCCGGGTTTACGCCATTCTCCTGCCTCAGCCTCCAGAGTAGCTGGGACTACAGGCGCCCGCCACCTCACCCGGCTAGTTTTTTGTATTTTTTAGTAGACACGGGTTTCACCATGTTAGCCAGGATGGTCTCGATCTCCTGACCTCGTGATCCGCCCGTCTCAGCCTCCCAAAGTGCTGGGATTACAGGCTTGAGCCACCGCGCCCGGCCTTGTGAGACAGTTTTGAGGGGTGTTGTTACACAGCAATAAATAACGGGAATAGACACTACAGTTCTCATTCATTCAACAAATAGTTATCAAAGTTACAATATAGAATATACAAATGTGTGGTTGCCTAGTCTCTAGGTAACCAGAATGGCACATAGATGCTACTGCAGATATAGGGTTATGCAGATTGAAGTCAGTCACAAGTACTTTGATACTCTTTCCATCAAGAGACACAGTATCCTCCCTCACTGAATCTTGGGAGTCTCTGTGACCACTCTGACCAATAGAAAATGAAGTGTCACTGTGCCAGTTTCTCAGTCTAGGCCTTAAAGGACTTGCAGCTTCCACTTCCTGTTCATGGAATACTTACTCTTGGGATAGTCTGTTTAGGAACCCGGTCACTATGCTTCCAAAAGCCCAAGACACATGCAGAGGCCATGTGAAGACATCCTGTTTTGAGAGCCCCAGCTGAGCTGCCAAACAACAGTCAGCATCACTGTCAGTCACGTGAGCCATCAAGAACATCCAGCTCGGTTACACTTTGAGATGACTGCAGCCAACATCTGACTACAACCATAAGACCTCAAGTGAGAGCCACCTAGCTGAGCCCAGTCATACCACAGAACCATGAAAAATTAATTATTGTGAGATAGATTTGAGGTTTGTTACACAGCAATAAATAATTGGAACAGACATTACAGTTCTCATTCATTCAGCAAACAGTTATCAAAGCTGCAATATACACGGAACTGTGGAGATACAACAATAAGTAAGACATGCACTTTACTCTTAGAGGGGAAACTGTGGCCCAGCACGGTGGCTCACTCCTGTAATCCCAGCACTTTGGGAGGCTGAGACAGGTGATTGCCTGAGGTCAGGAGTTTGAGACCAGTCTGGCCAACATGGTGAAACCCTGTCTCTACTAAAAATACAAAAAAATTAGCAGAGTGTGGTGACGTGCGCCTGTAATCCCAGCTACTTGGGAGGCTGAGGCAGGGGAATTGCTTGAACCAGGGAGGTGGAGGTTGCAGTGAGCCAAGATTACATCACTGCACTCCAGCCTGGGCGATGACAGCTATAATACGATGTTAATTTCTGCCATTTATTGTATAACTGTCTAACACAGAACTAAGCTCACATTTTTCCTACATGTACTTTCTACCAATTTCAAATTTTATCCATTTGATCTTTTTCTTTTCAATATACTATCTTATTCCTCTCCTTCCTTTTTATTCTCAAACTACTGCTTCTGTCTCCTCATCTCTGTGGCCCCAATAATCTCATTTTCACCCTTGATGCTTGTATTTGTTATCTCTTGTTGCATAACAAAGTATCCCAAAACTTAGCAGCTTAAAATAACAGCACTTATTATTTCTCAGAGATACCAGGATCAGGAGATAACGCTTCTCACTCAGGGTCTCGCATGAAGTTGCAATCAAGCTGTAAGCCAGGACTGCAGTCATCTTAAGGCTTGACTGCTACAAAGTCTATTTCCAAACTCACTTGCTCAAAGGCCTCAGGTCCTTACCACAAGGGCCTCTCCAGAGGGCTGCTTGCAACATGGCAGCTAGCTTCCCTCAGACAAGAGACAGAAGGGGACAAAGTGGGTGAGAGAGGGGAAGAAGAGGGGGAGAGTGAGCAAGTTCACACGAGTGAGGGTACGTGCACATGCGAGCACAGAAGAAGCCATAGTACCTTAAATAACCTAATGTTGGAAAGGCCGTACTATCACTTCTGACTGTTTTATCAGTTACACAGACCAGTCCTGCAACAGCATGAGAGGGGACTATACAAGGGTATGAATACTAAGAGGCCGAGATTACTAGGGACCATCTTAGAAGTTGGCTGCCGCGAACCACATCTTCTTAGGCCTTTCTTTCTCCTTTTCCTGAAACTCCTCCTTGGTTTTCCAGGGCAATCACTTTCACTCTCCTGGATTTTCTGCTTCCTAAGTTTTTCTGAGCCTGTTTCAGTCAATATACTGATATTAGATTAATTTTCCTAAAATACATCTTTCATTAAATCCCTTAGGTTGGCTCCTCCTCATCACCTATCAGAAAGAGTTATAACTAGGCCTGAATATAATGTAGCCCTATCTCCCCAGTGTACAAGATTCAATCCCTATAAATAATTGCCCAAACTCCAGATAACATTTCTACTGCAGCATAGGTCATACTCCTCTTCCCTTTGCACCATGTTCTGGCTTCCATCTCCTCTCGGTTGAGCTGAATGAACTTCTCCAGGCCTTATATTTCTCTCCCTGCCTCATTCTCAAAATATTTTTCTCATTTTGTATCCACTGACTCCTCCCTTCTTAACTAACACATTTGTTTGAATCATTTTGTTAAGCACTTTATTAAGCCTAGTTTTCTAAACGCTGAATTCTGAGAGCCTGTCTTCTTAATCAGACCATTAGCTCCTGGAGGGTCATGTCTTAGGTCTCTGGGACCAGCCTTGTTCTCTATGTTCTGAGAGACACTAAGGCAATCATCACATATTTCCTAACTTGATTTTTATTTGTAAACAGAACATAACATGAATTTCTTGTACAAGTGAGGGAAAATATAAACAACTGAAAATCTTTTTGAAAGTGGAAAAGACATTAAAAACATAGTTTAAAATCTGTCTTCTGGGAGAACTTTTCAGTACTTAAATTCTTTTGCTGGGTTCATAAAGTGGCAAGTCGACAGTCCTAAATCTGTGAAAATCTATGCCCACAAGCTAAGTCTTGGGAATTAAACACACATACAAAAGAACGTAGACTATGTCTACCTCACATTTTAAGAAATAAGCTTACCGGCCATGCACGGTGCTCACACCTGTGATCCCAGGGAGGCTGAGGTGGGCCAATCCCTTGAGGTCAGGAGTTCGAGATCAGCCTGGCCAACATGGTGAAACTCCATCTTTACTAAAAATTACAAAAATTAGCTGGGCATGGTGGTGCATGCCTGTAATCCCAGCTACTGAGGAAGCTGAGGCATGGGAATCGCTTCTGGGAGGTGGAGGTTGCAATGAGCCAAGATCGTGCCCTCCAGCTTAGGTGACAGAGAGAGACTCTGTCCCAGGAAAAATAAAAGAAAGGAAATAAACTTACCTTTAAACAAAATAATTGACTCTTCTTATCACAGAAGTGACCTAAGACAGGGCATACTAGCTCAGAGTTCTTACTGAGTAACTACCATCTGCCCAGGCATGAGACAGGTACCTTTTACAATGTGCCGCTACATGTACAGTTAAGGTAAATCCCTATTCTTACCTCATGGGCACAAGTCCCAGCATTTCATCACGCCGCTTTTCCTTTTTTTTTAGCTCTGATTCTGTTGATTTGAGTTTATCTGGAGCAAGTCGCAGTTTAGACTGCAAATCACTGATGACTTCTTGTAATTCAGCCTCTGTCTGAAAAACTCTCTGACAAACGGGGCAACATGACTGGTTTTCATCTGTTAGCTGAGTAATGAACTGGGAGTAAACTGCTGTGGCTCCAGCCAGCATGGCTATTTTAAGAAAATAAGTTATATCACCAATGAGAAAAAACATAAAATACAGTATTGTCAATATGGTTTCATCTTTTTCTATAAATATATTATTCTTACTTTATAAATATATTATAAAAGAAATAAAAATTCTGATACTTAAAATTCCAATATTCTCTTCCAAAGAGCATGATACATTCAGATTTGTATAAATATTTTTTGGTAACACATTATAAGTATAACAAAATGTCTACTGAGAGCTTTCTCTGTGCCAGGCACTGTTCTAAGGGTTTTACAACTATAATCTCATTCACTCCTCAGTACCCCAGGTGGTAGTTGTGTCCTCATTTTACAGACGATGAAACACAGGAAGGTTTCAGTAACTTGCCTAAAGTCACACAGTGAGTAAGTTGTAGAGCCAGGACTGAAATCCAAGCCATTAGGCTCCATAACCAGGTTTTTAAATTCCCCATCCTTAACAGTTACCTGTGAATGAAAATTCAAAGGTGTCAGAGTATCCTGATAACATAAAGTAGGTAAACTTACCTCGCTGTTTTGATGATTTTTCAATTTCCTCTTTAAGCCTGTCTAAATCACTTTCAAAATCCTGGCTACCACAAACATCAAACAGCTTGTCTTCGTAACTGGACAACTGCTCTTCCTTTCTTTTTAGTTCATTATTTATATGATTTTTATTCTGCTCAGCTGAAGCTAGTTCTTTGCTAAAATAAGAACAAATATGGATTTTCATTTTAAAATAGGAGAAATGAGTTTGAAAGTTTGAGTAGGCAAAAACAAGATAAATTTCTGCCAACAAATCATGACCAAATACTTTTTTTTAGAAGTTGAGGGACAAGTCCACTTCTGTCTTAACTCTCCCCCTATGACACTGACTCACCTGCCAGTCCTGCTCATGGGCCTGCTCCCAGAAAAATGTACACAGATTCTGCCTGGTTTCTGGGAATTCATGGCCTTTGATCCCAGGTTAAGCCCCAGCAAGATGCTTGCTGGGACTACTGGACAGAAAGAAGACAGGAGAACACCCCCGTAATTCTCTTTAGTCCTTTCACAAATACTACTTCCTTACTCTCCTGTAAATAGTTTCTTTATATCCTCTCCCTCCTTGTTGCTGTCACCCACTTGCCTCCAGAACAGTCATTCCCTCTCGTTAATCAAATATTTTACTTACTAGCACAATTTATCTCCACTTTTAGCTCTTAAATATCATCCTAGCCAACCTCAATACTTACATATAACATGGTTTTTCAATTTGCAGGTTTTGATGCACTAGCTACCATGTAGTCAATTTAATGTATTGTATTCAGCATATTTTTAAAAAATGAAATAGAAGAGATGGTAATATATTGGAGTAGGCTGTATGTATATATACTACTTTGAGAAATTGGTTTCAGATAAATGTGTGTTACTGCACACATGCTTCTTCATCATGACTACCCATCGTGAGTCACAGTAAAATTTTGGAAAAAAGTAACTAATACAGATGATATTTTCATTATCCTAGACTCCATTGAGCACTTCTCATCAAGATCACCAGTGACCTAAGTGCCAAGTACAGTCTTCATCTTACTCTACCTCTAGGTAGCACCAAACACTGTTGACTTTCTCCTTGAAGACTGTTTTCTCAAGGCACCCAGACACCACGGCTATCTGGCTCTCACTCTGGTTCCTTGGGCACATCCCAGTTTCCTTCACTTGATCCTTTTCCTTGGCCTGCTAACATTTTAAATGTTTGTGCTTCCCGGGAATCTAATTGTAACCCCTTCTCTTTGCGTAACTCTCTCAAGGTGACATACTAATGACTTCAAGTATCCCTTGCATAGCAACAACTCCCAGTCTCCTGAATTTCAAACTCCAATACTGTATTCCCTCACAGACACTTCCACAAGACACAGAGATTAAACATCACCAAAACCAAGTCCTCTACTTTCCTCAAAAATCTGTGTGGAATTTTTGACCCGCTTATCCAACCACCATCCAAGGTAACATCTGAGAAATATGATCACTTTTTATAATGGATTTCTCACAGAAATGAAAATAGAATTTTTAAATTTTAATCTTCACAGATCTACAAATTTTCAAAGGACAAGACGTCTAAATTACTACCCATTACAATTTTACTTAATTTGTAAAATATGAGGGGTCTTCAAAATGTTCATGGAAAATGTGTATTATAAAAAAACTATGCATGAAGTTCAAAATGTTTTGCACTGAAATAAACTCACACTAACTTGTTATAACATGTCTGAATAGGATCTAGTTTAAGGCACTAACACGGTTAAGACATCAGTTTGAAAAGAGCCCCAATTAGAGCTAAAACTGAAGCAAGAACAAACATCAAATTTATGGTGAAGTGTGGGTGGAAGAATGGTGAATCACTGATACTTTACAATAAGTTTATGAGGTCAATGCCCCAAATAAATCAGCAGTTTACAAATGGATAACTCAGTTTAAGAAGGGATGAGCCATTATTAAAGATGAAGCCCACAGTGGCAGACTGTTCACATCAATTTGTGAGGAAAAAATTCATCTTCTTCATGCCCTAATTGAAGATCAATGATTAACAGCAGAAACAATACCCAACACCACAGACACCTCAATTGATTCAGGTTACACAATTCTGACTGAAAAATTAAAGTTGAGTAAATGTTCTACTTGATGGATGCCCAACCACTGCTTCCAGATAAGCTGCAGAGAACAGCAGAGCTTTCAATGGAGAGTCTCAACAAGTAGGATCAAGTTCCTAAAGCATTCTTCAAAGAATTGTAACAGGTGATGGAATGTGGCTTTACCAGTACAATCCTGAAGACAAAGCACAGTGAAAGCAACGGCTACCAAGTAATGGAAGTGGTCCAGTCAAAGCAAAAGCAGACCAGATAAGAGCAAAGGTCATGGCAACAGTTGTTTGGGATGCTCAAGGCATTTTGCTTGCTGACTTTCTGGAGGGCTAAAGAATGGTAACAACTGCTTATTATGAGAGTGTTCTGAGAGAGCTAGCCAAAGCATTAGCAGAAAAATGCCCAGGAAACCTTCACCAGAGTCCTTTTCCAACACAACAAATGTTCCTGCTCATCCCTCTCATCAAACAAGGGCCATTTGCAAGAGTTTCTATGGGAAATCATTAGGCATCCACCTTACAGTCCTGATTTGGCTCCTCCTATCTTCTAGTTTCTTAATCTTAAAAAATCTGTAAAGGGCACGCATTTTTACGCTAATAATGTAAAAAAGACTACATTAACATGGTTAAATTCCCAGGACCCTCAGTTTTTTAGGACTGAACTAAATTGCTGGTATCATTGCTCAGAAGAGTCTTCAACTTGATGGAGCTTATGTTGAGAAATACAGTTTATTTTAAATTTTTATCTTTTAATTCCATTTTTCCATGAACTTTCTGAAGTCTTCTTGTATGCAAGAACTAAAATTGATCAATACAACATACCATTTCAAGACAATAAATTATTTTAAAACAATTAAACAAGTAAGCATGAAATAAGAGATTTCTATTACATCTCCAAATGTTGCAACTTACTTCAATTTGGCAAGTCTGTCCCTGGTCTGATTAATTTCTTTTGATTTACTATGTAGCCAGTCTTCAAGCTGTTTTTTGTTGGGAAAATATCCCAACAGTGACGTTAATTCATCACTGTGCCTAGATTTTATTTTTCTGATTTGTTCATCTTTGTCAGCCTATAGGTAAAAAAAAAAAAATCTTTTAAAAATAAAGTCTGTATCTCTACATTATATCAAGAACAAAAATAAATTCTAGATTGACTAAAGTTCTAAGCTTAAAACTATAAAAATATGAAAATAAAATATAAAATTTCTTAAAGTCTTCAAGTGGGAATGGTCTTTCTAAGCCCTAAGAGTGGAGTACCAAGTCAAACAATATAGAATTTTAAAACTTCTGTTATGTTAAAAGCTAACAGTAATGTTCATGTGTGTGTGTGTATATATATTTCTGTATTAACTTTTTGTAATTAAACAATAACTTTTAAGCTTGAAAGTCTATTATACAGAGTACTAAGCTCACTTAGCCTCTAAAATATAAAGTCAATACCAACTTAATACCTTATAGTCTATGACTTATGAATGCAAGATAGGCTATTTTAAGTACCAGACAGTAAAATTAGAACAAAAAGAGAAATCATACTTTGTCTTTGGTCAGCATCTCCATCTGGGTACGTGTTGTTGTATGATGGTTTAACTGCTCCATCTCCTGGTCAAGTTTACGCAGGGTCCTGTCTAAGTCTGCTTTTTCATTTTGAAGACTTATTACTTCCATTTTTAAGGTTTCTACATTGCTGTTTTTCTCAGCCTTGCTTAACTCACGTTCCTGGTCAATAATTCATACAAATGCAAAGGTGTTAGATATTTTGTGCAAGAATTAAAATAATGATAAGGTGTATTAGAAATTAACTACTCCTCACAATGTTCCAAATAATATTGTTTGTATCCAACAAGAGAAAAAAACAAGGCACTATATATGCTTTAAGGTAAATCTTATTAAAGTGACCGTACTATGTTATAATGGTAGAGAATTAGTAAATAAACCTAGAAGGGTCAAACAGGAAAGAAAAGTGAGAATTAGTGTACAATTAGGAGACATGTGTCTAAGTATACAGATTAGTGAGTCCTCAGTCAACAATTAAGTATTTATTAAGTCCCCATGTAATTCACTACATTGCCTGGAATGTAGAAACTATAAAAATAGTGTGACGTGGTCCCTGACCAGTATCTCCCCACCCCAACAAGATAACACTGTGAAAAAGTGCTAAATTGACAAAAATGTATGCTACAATGGTAAGTTACGAAGCAAAAATAAATGTTTACATAAATTATCAAGATGGGCTTTAAGAAGTTTGCCATGCTTTAGAATGCTTACTTTGGTGATGGAGATGTGAAGAAAGACGACAGACTAGAAGCAAGAAAGAAAATTTGGAAATACCTGAAAAGACTGGCTAAGAAAGTTGTTACCACAGAAAAAGTAGTAATACAGCAAAAATCATCTAGAATTACAATGTGTGTGACCTACAGGAAAAATATTTGTTTTTTATAAACTTTGGTAAGTGTTCTTTTTTTTTTTTGAGATGGAGACTCACCCTGTCACCCAGGCTGGAGTGCAGTGGCATGATCTTGGCTCACTGCAACCTCCGCTTCCCAGGTTCAAGCGATTCTCTTGTCCCGGCCTCCCAAGTAGCTGGGACTACAGGTGCGCGCCACCACGCCCAGCTAATTTTTGTACTTTTAGTAGAGATGGGGTTTTGCCATGTTGACCAGCCTGGTCTTGAACTCCTGACCTCAGGTGATCTGCCTGCCTTGGCCTCCCAAAGTGCTGGGATTACAGGTGTGAGCCACCGCACTCAGCCTGGTAAGTGTTCTTAACCAAGGTGCTCATAAGAATCACCCAGTTTTGTTGTGTTTTTGAATGTACACTTCTATGCCCCATTCTCAGAGATTTTGATTTGGAAGGTCTGAAGCTTTAAGGTCTGAGTACAGTATCTTTAAAAAGCTCCCTATGTGATTCTAATTTTCAACCTACCAGGTTGTAGAACCAAAGACTCAGAAGATCAAGATACTCAGATGAATTCATTTTACATGAGAATAAGACAAAGTTGATGTTTTTATTAAAATGCCATAATCTCAGGATTAAAAATAGACAAAATACTTCTAAAAGTCTTATATCTTAAAATTATTAGATTATTCAAACAATATCTTACAGCTTTTATGAGCTCCTGGTCCAGTTCAAGAATCCTGTCTGAAGATCCTTCCAACTGCTGTAATTCATACTTCACGTTTTTCAGCTCATTCTGCTTCTTATTTAGAATTTCTGATTTTAACTCAATTATTCTTCCCAGTCCAGTTTTCTTATCTCTTATCTCATCTATCTGTTTTTGTTTCAGAGTCTCTTTTTCTGCAAAGTCATTCTAAATGCGTATATAAAGAATGAGCATTAATAATTTACCAAACAATTTAAGAAACAGTTTTTTAATTGCAAAAGGAATATATGTACACTGAAGAAAATACAAAAATGTACAGTCATGTGTTGTTCAGCAGGGATATATTCTGAGAAATGCATCATTAGGCAATTTTATCGTTGTGTGAACATCAGAATGTATTTACATAAGCCTACATGGTATAGCTTACTACACACATAGACTATATGGTATAGCCTATTGTTTCTAGGCTACAAACTTATACGGCATATATCTGTACTGAATACTTTGGCAACTGTAACATAATGATAAGTATTTATGTATCTAAACATATCTAAACACAGAAAACATACAGTAAAATACAGTAATACGATTTTATGGGACTACTGTCAAATATGTGGTCCATCACTGACCAAAACATGTGGTTCAAGACTTTATTTTAAAAACTATCAAAACCATTACCCAGAAATAATCATTAACTATGAGCAAATGTTTTCTCTGCAATTAGCTTTTAAAAATTTTTTACTTAAAACCAAATAAAAAATGTAGGTTTACATTTTCTTCATATTTTTATCCTTATACACTTTAGAACATTTGCTTCAATAAAGGTTTCTCTGCCTTGTAGCAGATTTTATGCTAACACTAATAGAAAAATATGCCAAAATAGAGTCCAACCAAAAATTAAAACAATTCAAGTAGAGAATATGACGCAAACAAAATAAGAAACACTATATTTCAAAATACTTGCCATCAGTTGGTTGGCAGTTTTTGCTTCCCCTTCTTGTCTCTCTTTCACAAGTTTGTGAAAATTTTTAATCTGTCTTTCACTGAATGGTCCACGCTCAAAGCCATCCAATTCTAGCTGTGTTGCCAAAGACTGAATTAATGAATCTCTAGCTCGGATATGTTCTTGATGGCGATCTGCTTGTAGCTGTAGACGACCTTTAAAAAAAAAAAAGCCTCATAATTTTTATTTTTAAACTGGTGCTTAAAAAGTTGAGATAGTTGTAGATTCACGAGTTATAAAAAATAATGCAGTGTGTTCTCTTGTACATTTTGCCCAGTTTCCCCCAATGATAACATTTTGCAGAACTGCACTATAATATCACAACCAGAATACTGACATTGATATAATTCATCAATCTTATTCAAAAGTCCCCAATTTTATTTGTACCCCTGTGCATGTGTATGTGTGTTTATTAAGTTCTAAATAATTTTATCACCTGAGTAGGTTCATATATCCACTATGGCAGTCAAGGTACTGAACAGTTCCAACACTACCAGAACCCTCTTTTTGTTCTAATCATAACCATACTTATCTCCCTCCTGTCCCTTCTCTTACCTAGGATCCCTGGCAACTACTAATTTCTCCACCATTTCTAAAATTTTGACATTACAAAAATGTTATATAAATGGAAACATACTGTGTATAGCCTTTTAAGATTGGCTTTTCACTCAGCATAAGTCCTTGGAGATTCTTCATTCATACAGAAAATGTGTAATATCATAGTAGGAAAAACAACCAAATGAACATTTTGTCCTACCCTGTTCAACAAGCAGTTCTGATTTTTCTTGATTGAGAAGCCTAGATTCTTTATTTAATTTTTCCAGTTCACGATGACAGTCTACCAATTTCCTTTCTTTCTCCCTTACTGTTCTCTGGTGATTGTGATATAAATCATTTAGTTGCTCATCAGTCCCTTGAAAAACCTGTGTAACACCAAAATAAAAAGCTTTAATGTACAAACATAAGAAAATATGATCACTTTGAGATGCCAAACAGAAACCAAACTTTATTCAATATCCTTCATTTCAACATATACATAGAAGTAACCAGATCTGTATTTTTTTCCAATGTGGATGGCAAAATGGATTCAAATAAAGTTCATTACAATAATCCTAAAATTTTGAAGCAGAACAAAATTCTACCACCACAAACCTTTTCCATTTTCTCTTCGAGTTCACTATTATCTTTCTCCATTTGCTTCTTTCGGCTATCCAAGGCTTTAATTTCATTGTCAAGTTTCATTATTTTAGAGAGATTATGTTCAATTTCTTTTAGACGATTCTGAAAATAAAGAAACACCACATAAATAAAACTCACTATAGCTTACATGGCTGATAGATGAAGACAAATAAGATAATCCAGGTCCAGGCATTTAGTAAAAGTGATCTAATTTAATGCTAACAATAACATTGTAGAGCGGGCCTAGAGAAACTGAAGTTCAGAGACATTAAGTAACTTAGCCCAAGTCCTTATAGCTAGTAGAGAGAAGTAGGAATTCAATTCCACTTCTAACTCCGAACACCATGCCCTGTCCTCAACCTCCCACAAAAGTCATTCATTCACTGGGCAGTTAGAGTTACAATACATAAAGCAGCACATTTTAAGAACTTAATCCTTAAAAGGCTAATTATTTAATGTATTTTTGTTTTTAAGTCAGGACTACTGAGAGGGCTAGAAATTCATGGTGAGTTACCAATGCATTCTGAGCCTGTAGGCAAATTTACATGAAGAGTATACTTTAATCCAAAGCTTGCTCAACCACTGGGGACTCTGAGCAAGTAAAGTACAACAAACGAGCTCAGTGGCCTGCTCTGAGGCTCGCTTCCAGAGACAGCTGGCTGTCCCATCTTCTAGGAATGAATACTGGGATCTGGTTCGGGGCATTCTCTTATTGGATGATGCTGGGGATATTCTTCTAGCGTTTGCCTCTATGATTCCAAAACTGACCAACTCTTCTTCTAACACATTTTTAGAACCTACTTGTATTATTATTATTATTTTAAATGCAGAGACAAGGTCTTGCTATGTGGCCCTGGCTGGGGTGGCTATTCACAGGTGCAATAACAGTGCAATACAATTTGAACTCCTGGGCTCAAGTGTTCCTCCCACCTCAGCCTCCAAGTAACTGGGACTATAAGTATGCACCACCATGCCCACCAGGACCTAATTTTAAACTAACATATTAAGTTACTGGAATGTTTAGACAGCAGTTGCAAACCTTCATAATTGTACCAAAATGCATCCTTAACTTTAACATAATTAAAATTATACTAATAGCATACCTTGTGATTTGCATATGAATGCAAACAGCCTAAAATCAGAAACTTTGTTTACTTTGTTCCCTAATGTATCCCCAGAACATGCAATAGGTGTTCAATGTTAGCTAAATGAAAGAGAGATTTGAAAAAAATAACTTTACCAAGAACAACAGTCACAGGTATCACTGATTGAATGTCTACTATGTTCCAGGCATTGTACTAGGTGCTGCTATAAATTCTCTCTAATCCTCACAAAAGCATATACTAAGCAGGAGACTAAAAGGACTTAACTGACTTGTACAAAAATGTATTATAAACTATAAAACATTGAAGAACATTTTTGTGGCACTGGGTCAAAGACTTCCCCTAAATATGAAACAAAAAGCATAAACCATAAGTGAAAACAGTTGACAAACTGTGTCTCATCAAAATTTAAAACTCCTGTCCTCTGAAAAGCAGTTAAGAAATATCTGCAAAACCAATATCTGATAAAGGGCTGGTATCCAGAACATATTTAGAACTCTCTGCCCAGCACTGTAGCTCACACCTGTAATCTCAGCACTTTGGGAGACTGAGGCAGGCCGATCGCTTGAGCCCAGAAGTTTGAGACCAGTCTGGGTAACCTGGTGAGATCCTGCCTCTACAAAAAATTAAAAAACATTAGCTGGATGTGGTGGTGTGTGCCTGTAGTCCCAGCTACTCAGGAGGCTGAGGTGGAAGGATCACTTGAGCCTGGGAGTCAGAGGTTGCAGTGAGCCAAGATCACACCACTGCACTCTGGCCTGGGTGAGAGAGAGAGACCTTGTCTCAAAAAAAAAAAAAAAAAAAAAAAGAACTCTCACAGCTCAATAATGACCAATAAATAAATAAAATTGAAAAATAGGCAAAAGATTTTTACATTTTACTAACAAAGATACTCAGATGGCAAATAAATATATGAAAAGATGCTCAAAATCAATAATCAACTGACTAACTGATCAACTAGGAAAACACAAATTAAAAAATATAAAGAAATACAACCTCACAATGAGATACTACCACACACCTACTATTACGGCTAAAATGAAAAAGATTGACAGTACTAAGTGTGGATGAGAATGCAGAGCAATTACATTCTCATAGATTATTGGTAAATTGTTGGTAGGACTACAAAGTGGTACCAGATGGTACAGCTAAAGTGTACATTAAACATACACTTACCATACAACCAAGCAACCCCATTCCTAAAGTTATCCAAATATCTGTATACAAAAGTTTATAGCAGTTTTATCTGTAACAGCCCAAAGCTGAAAACAACTTAATGTCCATCAGCCATGGAATGGATGAGGAAAAAAATTATAATATATGCATACAATGGAAGGAATGCTCCTCAGCAATAAAAAGGAATGAACTGCCGGGGCGCAGTGGCTCACGCCTGTAATCCCAAAACTTTGGGAGGCTGAAGTGGGCAGATCACCTGAGGTTGGGAGTTCAAGACCAGCCTGACCAACATAGAGAAACTCTGTCTCTACTAAAAATACAAAAAAAAATTAGCTGGGTGTGGTGGCGCATGCCTGTAATCCCAGCTACTCGAGAGGCTGAGGTAGGTGAATTGCCTGAACCTGGGAGGCGGAGGTTGTGGTGAGCCAAGATCACACCATTGCACTGTAGCCTGGGCAACAAGAGTGAAACTCCATCTCAAAAAAAGAATGAATTACTCACACATGCAGCAACACAGATAAATCCCAGACACAAAAGTCTGCATACTCTATGATTCTATGTATGTGCCACTCTTTGGAAAAGGCAAAACTATGACAGAAAACAAATTAGTGGCTATTAAGGATGGGAGCAGGGGGAGAAGACTGACTGCAAGGACTTTGAGAGAACTTTTTGGGGAGACTGAAATATTCCACATCTTCATTGTAGTGCTGGTTATGCTACCATATGCATATGTCTTAACTCAAAGAATTTATATTCTAAAAAGTGTGGGTTTTACCATATATATATTACACCTTAATAAACTTGACTTAAAAAGAAAAAACAAGTATAAACTTAGGAATCAAAGGACTCAAATCCTACCTTTAACCCTTATTTCCACCGTGAACACCTGTGCCTCAGTTTTCTTGCCAATACAACCTCATAGAGTTACTATGGGGTTTACATCATACATTGTAAAGCACTTGGATTAGTGTTAGGCATTAAACAGTAAATGAGACCATTTGCACTACTTGTGAAAAAACTTCTGTACTCAGAAAATACCTTTTGAGTAGAATCTGACAAAGATAACTGGATGGACACTTAAAAGCAATGAATATTAACAGCTCCGTTATGATAATCTACAAAGTGCTCAGTTTCTTTCCATCAGTGTTTTCACCGCCTCTTGATAGCACAAACATTATGACAATCATCTGGGCTTGGATCTTTCATGACATCTCTACCTGCTTCATTCCTTAAATCCAGCCAGTCACCAGATCCCCTGAATTCCTTCTTTGACATCTGTGTTTTGGTTCTAATCTCAGAGCACAAAACATAGGTTCCATCCCCAGAGTACACACCTAGTAAAAGGAGCTAGGACAAGCAGGCAGACGACAACAACAAAAACAGCCAAGTGTTTAAAGCTTAGGTGCCAGTATGAAATGAGTTTAAAAAAATAGAGCAGCTGGGCTATCAAGTATAGAAGGACCATGAACTTGTGTATGGAAAAAAAAACAATTAGAAACGTATTCCTCTAGCAATTCCCATTTAAGGCAAGAAAGGAAAACAGATCTAAGTAGGGCAAAAAAAGAGGACAGGATATGGTGGGATGGTAATAAAGTAGTTTATAAGAGAGTGAGAGTTCCTGAAGATGAAGGGAATCAGTAAAAATGGGAAAGGATGCATTCTAGTGCATGGTTGAAAAGAAGTAGTCTTTTCTGGGAAGGTGATTTGACCCAAACTTTAATTGGGTTCTATGAAGGGAAGAACCTTCACATGTCAGAGCTAAAAAAGGACTCCGGAAGTCATTTACTTAATAAACATTTACTGAACCACCTGCTACGTGCCAGGCACTAGGCTAGGCTCTGAGGAAACAGAGAAGAGTATGAAACCCTTGGAGAATTACTCACAATTAAACACAAACAAGTACATAAATACCTCAACCTCTACTACGGCCTTGGTTAGAATCTTGGCACCACTCACTAAATCCTAGGTATTATCATTTAGCCCTACCTTGACATCATCTCCAATAAAAATGCTTCATTTCAACAATATGGATTTCCTTGACAGTGTTCAAAGACAGCTTGGATTTTACTGTCTCTATGTCTCCAATGACCTACTCATTTATGATCAAAAAAGTCATGGCCAAATTTAGTCCCATGAAATCCTCTCTGGCTACCTCAGACAGAAATTCTCTTTCTTTATCCTCAGAGCTCCTACAGGTCTTGTTTTTTTTCTGCTTTACCGTTACACACGCTTGTCATCTCTCCAACCAAGATGCTCCTCAAGAAAATAAAATGTGGAGTGGGGCAAGGGGGAAAGAAGGAAAAAAAAGGAAATCTTTTCCAGTATCTTGGTAATTACCACGGTGCTCACAGAGAGTTACCAGGACAACTCATCCTAAAATATAACATAATCTTCCACTCTTCTGTCTATTGAACTAAGTCTGAAATCCATTAGCTTTCTATAATCTGATCCCGATTCATATTGATCATTTACTCCTTTTATATTGATTTACTTAACCCAGACTTTTCCTCTCACAATTCTGTTCTGATTAAGCTTGTACAGGTAAATATACACATACATACAAGTGAATGTTTGCATACACATATGTATAGTATACATGCAGTTAAAAAAAGCTACAGGTAGAATATACTCTGGAAGTTCAGAGATGAGGAATGGAAGACTATCTTTTACTTTTCTTTTTTTTTTTTTTTTTTTTTGAGGCGGAGTCTCGCTCTGTCGCCCAGGCTGGAGTGCAGTGGCGCGATCTTGGCTCACTGCAAGCTCCGCCTCCCGGGTTCCCGCCATTCTCCTGCCTCAGCCTCCCGAGTAGCTGGGACTACAGGCGTCGCCACCACGCCCGGCTAATTTTTTTGTATTTTTAGTGGAGACGGGGTTTCATTGTGTTAGCCAGGATGGTCTCGATCTCCTGACCTCGTGATCCGCCCGTCTCGGCCTCCCAAAGTGCTGGGATTACAGGCTTGAGCCACCGCGCCCGGCCTATCTTTTACTTTTCACCTAATATCCTTTTATAACTTTTTCACTGGGGGCACATATTACTTTTAAAAGAAAAGTCAAAATAAATACGAACATTTCCGGGCACAGTGGCTCATGCCTGTAATTCCAGCACTTTGGGAGGCTGAGGCGGGCAGATCACTTGAGGTCGGGAGTTCAAGACCAGCCTGACCAAAAATGGAGAAACCCCGTCTCTACTAAAAATACGAAAAGTTAGCTGGGCATGGTGGCGCATGCCTGTAATCCCAGCTACCCCGGAGGCTGAGGCAGGAGAATTGCTTGAACCCAGGAGGCAGAGGTTGCGGTGAGCCAAGATCGCACCACTGCACTCCAGCCTGGGCAACAAGAGCAAAACTCCATCTCAAAAAGAAAAAAAAAAAAAAAAAGATAAATACATAAATACAAACATACATACATAAAATGTCTTCTAGTTTGCTGACTTGATTTCTTCCCAGTCTTCAAGACCCACCTCAGCCCTACCTCCTCCCAGAAGCCCTTGCAATATATTTCTATGCATGGCCATCATTAAAAATATATATATTTTCTACTTCATGATTCAAAGATCTATACCGGTATTTACAAGTGAGTTTTTAAAAATCAAATCAATACCTTCTTAAATGACTTAAAAAAATCTACTATCTAAAATGTAGAAAATAGCCATTTTTAAGAATGCTCTTACTTAGACTAGGAATGCCTTAAGGACAGGGGGGTGCTGTTGTAGTCCTTTTTGTACTCAAGCACAGTATACCTTGACACAAAGAAGACACCCAATAAATGCTTATTAAATGAATGAATGGAATTTCCTGTAGGCCTTTCTTATAAATCACGGGGTTTAGACAGGTATACTCATTTGCAAATGTATCAACATGTTATGGATCAATTCCAAATTCTGTACAATTTTTGAATGTTTCAAAAACATTCTGCAAATTTAAAAAATTCTCTAGAAAGATCTGTCAATTTAAAAAAAATCTTAATACAGAACTGTAGGGCTGGGTAATGATATTGCTATTTAACACCTAGTGATCTACACTACTAATTTAGTGTGATACAACAAATTTGTTTTCTTTCAAATCCAAGCTCTTTGAGCAATTTAAAGACTAATATAGACCTAAAACATTAGCTAACTGATAATTTGAGAAATATACAAGCCATTCAGTTTCATATACAAATAAGGGGAGAATGCTACCATAGTTAAAACAAAACAAAAAAAAAGGACTACCTCTTTAGTATACAAGAAATTAACTACTGTATATCACTGTGACTTTAGTTAATAACAATATATAATTGCTAAGAGAGTAGATTTTAAGTGTTCTCATCATTAAAAAAAAATGAAGTAATTTTATGCACGTTAATAGCTTGATTTAGCCATTCCACAACGTATACTTTTATCAAAACATCATGCTGTATGCCACAAAGATATACAATTTTTGTCAATTAAAAATAAAATCAAGTTACCTTCAACGGATCAAGTTCATTCTCATAGGATTTGACAATTTCCTTTGAAGATGTTAACTGGGCTTCCTTACTTGTAATCTGATCACGAATCTCACAAGCTTTTTCCTTATATTGCTTCAGATATTTTAGTTCCATTTGATATTCTTTTACTTTCTGACCTTGTGTCTGACGTACCTGCCGAAGTGTTTCCAAGGCTTTAATGTATCTTTGAAGACACAAAACAAAAATCAAATTTCTGGCAAAGTAAATTATGGTGTATATTCATACAGTGGGATATTATGCTGTCACTAAGGTTACAGTTACAATGAGTTTCTAATAACTTGGAAAATGCCTATGACATAGTAAGTGAAAAAAATTACATTTATACTGTCAATCAGGTATATAAATATATGCACAGAAAGACAAGTGAAATAAAATATGCCCAATGGCTGCTGCTGGGTGAGAGGTAGTAACTGATGACCTTTCTGCTTTTTAAATTCTTTCTGTTAAAAAGAAGCATCCAAATTGCAAACACAGTTCAATAACTTAATGGACTACAAAGTTTATTTAAGGGTTACAAACCTTGTTGCTGAAAAAATTTCATCAAACTTTTGCTTCAAAGCCTTTCCTTCACTTAAAGGCCAATTAGAATCTTCTTGATGACAGAAAATGACGTTATTTAGCACAGCCTTGGAAACCCCAAGAGAACTGATCATTTCTCGGTCAATTTCTGCACACTTAGAGCTTAGACTGACCTTTTCACCATGCCTACAGAAAATGAAAATCAAGAACATATGTAAAATAACCTTCAGTGTATCTACTCTATTGCTTAATCAGTTCATACTGTAATTCTAAAAAAAAAAAAAGGCCCTTCACCTATCCCGTTAGAAATGGCTTCATCATGCTAAAAAGTGTAACTCTGAAACTATTTAGCACTTCACAGATGAAAAGATATGTAAAACAAAGTAGCTCAGGAAAGGAAGCCAGAATTTATTTTTTACATATTACAGACTGCTTTGGTGAACAGAGGCAGTATCTGTCTTTACTATTTTTTATACATTTCATTTTGTATTTTGAAAATATTACACTGGGCCAGGCACAGTAGCGCATGTCTATAACCCCAGCAATTTGGGAGGCCGAGGTGGGCGGACTACCTGAGGTCAGGAGTTCCAGACCAGCTGGACTAATACAGTGAAACCTTGTCTCTATTAAAAATACAAAAAAAATTAGCCAGGTGTGGTGGTGGGCACCAGCTCCTCAGGAGGCTGAGGTAAGAGAATCACTTGAACCTGGGGGAGGTGGAGGTCGTAGTGAGCTGACATCGTACCATTGCACTCCAGCCTGGGAAACAACAGTGAAACTCTGTCTCAAAAAAAAAAAAAATTACACTGAATATATTAAGAATGCTTTGTAGAGGGCTAGAATGGACACAGATAGATCAACAGGTTATCACATTAGGTCATGGAAAAACAATGGTAGCTTGGACTAGGACTAGAATGGTTGTTGTCGAGGTGGAAACAGATTCAAGAGACATTTAGATTCAATTTAGGTCTTAGTAATAGACTGGATATGGAAGGCAACGACAGTATCAAGACTTAGGTTCTTGGTTTTTGTCACTGGATGGATAGTGGTGTCATTCACCAAGCTGAGGTATACCATAAGACCAAGTTGTTGGAGGTTTTTTAAGCGGGGAGGTCAAAGAGAAAGGACTGTGAGTTTGGTTTTGGAAACACTGAATCTAAGTTGTCTCTGAAACAACTGGTAAAAAATCAGAGATGGGGCTCACGCCTGTAATCCCAGCACTTTGGGAGTCCGAGGCAGGTGGATCACGTGGTCAAGAGATCAAGACCACTCTGGCTAACATGGTGAAACCCCGTCTCTAATAAAAGTACAAAAATTAGCTGGGCGTGGTGGCGGGCACCTGTAGTCCTAGCTACTCGGGAGGCTGAGGCATGAGAATTGCTTGAACCTGGGAGGCGGAGGTTGCAGTGAGCTGAGATTTCACCACTGCACTCCAGCCTGGGTGACAGAGCAAGATTCCATCTCAAAAAAAAAAAATCAGAGATGGGTAAATAGGTCTGGGTAAATGGGTCTGGAAACAGAGGTCTGGTTTGGAGATATAAATCTGTGAGTCATCTATGAACACAGAGTAGTTCGAACAATGGATAAGAATGTGATTACCTAGGAAGAAAATACAGAGCAAAAAAAAGGAGAAGATATAGGACTGAGCCTAATGAGACTTCCAACCTTTATTGATGGGGTGAATGAAGTAGTATGTGGCTGTGATAGAGAGAACAGTATTGTATCATGGAGGTCTAGAAAAAGAACTTTTCAAATAAGTGATAAACTAGCATTTACTCAGCTATGGTATATGGAACAATGGTTCTCCAAGATGTCCACATTTTAATTCCTTCAATTTGTGAATGTTACATTGCACAGCAAAAGAGAATTAAGATTACAGATGGAATTAGGGTGTTAATCATTTGACCTTAAAATAGATTATCCTGGATTATTTAGATGGGGCAAATGTAATCATATGGGTTCTTTAACGTGAGAGAGGAAGGCAGAAGAAGAGAGAAGAGGTCACAGTGATTTGAGACGAGAAGAACTATGCCCACTATTGCTTGCTTTGAAGACAGAGTAAGAGGGCATGAGCTAAAAAATATAGGTGGCCTCTAAAAGATGGAAAGAACAAGGAAACATATTCTCCCTCAGAGCCTCCAGAAAGGAACGTAACCTGCTAAAATTTTGATTTTAGCCCAGTGAGACCTAATTCAGACTACTAAACTACATAAGTAGTGTAAGATAATAAATTTGTATTGTTTATGCCACTAAGTTTGTGGTTTGTTATAGCAGTCATAGAAGATTAATACATGAACTCTTACTACATATTAAGCATTTCATATGCATTAGCTCAACCTTGACAACATCTTTCTAAGCTACGTACAGTGATAATGAATGCCTATTTTACAAATGAAATAAACAGAAGCTCACTCTTAGGTCTACTTTGTATAGCAGTAGCATTACCCTAATTAAAAACAGAGTTATTAGTAACTTTAGTCAGAGGTGTTTCAAAGGACGAATGTGACTACAATTAGAGTGAAGAGGAAGTGAAGAAATGGAGACAGTATCAACAACTCTTTTGAGAAGACTGGCTATAAAGGGGAAGAAGGAGACAGGTAGTAATTGGAGTGGAATGAAATCCCAGGGTATAAGAGATACTTGAGTGTGTTAAAATGGCAATGATGAAAACCTGCTTGAGAAGCCAGTATAGTGCCTCTAGCACATAGTAGATGTGCATTATTGGTTAAATAAAGGAATTACTTAATTAGTTAAAAGGGAGGAGAAGTAGCTAAACAGTCAAGTAATTTGCTCAACAAAGTCAGAGACTCGAATCTAAGGCAGTCTAATCCCCAAATCCATTAGAAAATGATACCTGCCTCTAACAGAATGATAATGGTTGAAAGGAACAATTTATCATTCTTTCCTACTTGTTTGCTTCTCATCTCAACCATTCTTAAGCACGACACTAGAATTTTTTACTCATTCAACCTGTATTTGAGTGATTATGTGTTTTCAATTCAGCAACTGTTCAGAAATTACTCAAGAGAATGGAACATAACCCTAAGTCTGTAATGGGACCATTCTATTTAATTGACAAATAGCATACACAAAAAATCAAATGTTGATAGTGGAGGAGGGTGTGTTTGTGTGTTGGGGTAGGGAGAAAATGGAAGCTCAGTACTTTCTGCCCAATTTTGCTATAAGCCCAAAACTGCTCTAAAAAAACAAAGTGTAAAGTCTATTGAAAAAAATTTAATACGCTCCCCTAAACTTAAAGTAGTAAACAACCATCAACTTACAAACCTGAAAATAAACAGAAATTCAAATATCACATAAACACCTACTTTGTTCTAGTAATGACTCCTTCCAAAGTTTTAAATTCTGTCTTTTTGCTTTTCTGAGTACACACCATAGATCTTTGTACAGCTATAAGTTCTCCATTGACATCACGAAATTGCAGACGAATTTGGGCTCTCACATCTGTTTCTTGAGCAACCTTTGAAGGAAAACAGAGAAAAAACTTATGTTACTTTAATAAGCACCACTGTTGGTTCTGAGAGAACACGCATAAGCAATCTTACCCAGAATGAGGGAACAAAAAGAAAAACATCCAAAAGGAGTGACATTTTTACATGCTATCCAAAATATAGAAGAATACTGTTTAATTAATTTATAAAAATGATATATTATCTACCTCCTTTATTCAGCATCATTAGGAGATAAGGTATGCAGATTTTTCAAATAAAGGCATTTTATCTCTGTAAGCATCAAAAATGTTTTTTATCATTAAAAATCACAAATTTATAGAAAGGTAGAATGATTCGGTTTGGCTTTGTCTCCACTCAAATCTCATCTTGAATTCCCATATGTTGCAGGAAGGATCTGGTGGAAGGTAACTGAATCACGGGGACAGGTCTTTCCCATGCTGTTCTTGTGACAGTGAGTAAGTCTCACAAGACCTGATGGTTTTATAAGAAGGAGTTTCCCTGTACAAGCTCTCTTTGCCTGCTGCTGTCCATGTAAGATGTGACTTCCACCTCCTTGCCTTCCACCACGATTGTGTGGCCTCCCAAGCCACATGAAACTGTAAGTCCATTAAACCTCTTTATTTTGTAAATTGTCCAGTCTCAGGCATATCTTTATTAGCAGTGTGAAAACGGACTCATACAGTAAATTGGTACCAGGAGTGGAGCGCTGCTGAAAAGTTACCCAAAAATGTGGAAGCAACCTTGGAACTGGGTAACAGGCAGATGATGGAACAGTTTGGAGGGCTCAGAAGACAGGAAAATGTGGGAAAGTTTGGAACTCCCAAGAGACTTGAATGGCTTTGACCAAAATGCTGACAAGGATATGGACAATGAAATCCAGGCTGAAGTGTTCTCAGATGGAGATGAGGAACTTGTTGGGAACTGGAGCAAAGGTGACTTTTGTTATGCTTTAGCAAAGGAACTGGCAGCATTTTGCCCCTGCCCTAGAAATGTGTGGAACTTGGAACCAGAGAGATGATTTAGGGTATCTGGTGAAAGAAATTTCTAAGCAGTAAAGCATTCAAGAGGTGACTTGGGTGCTGTTAAAGGGATTCAGTATTAAAAGGGAAACAGCATAAAAGTTTGGAAAGTTTGCAGCCTGACAATGCGATTAAAAAAAAAAAATCCCATTTTCTGAGGACAAATTCAAGCCAGTGGCAGAAATTTGCATAAGTAACGAGGAAACAAATGTTAATTACCAACACAATAAGGAAAATGTCTCCAGGGGCATGTCAGAGACCTTTGCGACAGCCCCCCTCTTCACAGGCCCAGAGGTTTAGGAGGAAAAAATAGTTTTGTAGGTCAGGCCCAGGGTCCCTCTGCTGTGTGCAGTCTAGGGACTTGGTGCCCTGTGTCCCAGCCATGACCAAAAGAAGCCAAAGTACAGCTTGGGCTGTTGCTTCAAAGGGTGGAAGCCCCAAGCCTTGGCAGCTTCCATGTGGTGTTGAGCCTGCAGGTGCACAGAAGTCAAGAACTGAGGTTTGGGAACCTCCACCTAGATTTCAGAGGATGTATGGAAACACCTGGATGCCCAGGCAGAAATTTGCAGCAGGGGCGGGGCCCTCATGGAAAACCTCTGCTAGGGCAGCATGGAAGGGAAATGTGGGGTTGGAGCCCCCACAGAGTTCCTATGGAGGGGACTGCCTAGTGGAGCTGTGAGAAAACAGCCACTGTCCTCCAGACTGGTAGATCCCCCAGAATAATAGATCCACTGACAGCTTGCACTGTGTACCTGGAAAAGCCGCACTCAACACCAGCCCGTGAAAACAGCCAGGAAGGAGGCTATACCCTGCAAAGCCACAGGAGCGGAGCTGCCCAAGGCCGTGGGAGCCCACCTCTTGCATCAGAGTGACCTGGATGTGAGACATGGAGTCAAAGGAGATCATTTTGGAGCTTTAAGATATTCCTGCCCCACTGAATTTCGGACTTGCATGGGGCCTGTAGCCCCTTTGTTTTGGCCAATTTCTCCCATTTGAAATGGCTGTATTTACCCAATGCCTGTACCCCCATTGTATCTAAGAAGTAACTAACTTGCTTTTGAGTTTACAGACTCATAGGCAGAAGGGATGTGCTTTGTCTTGGATAAGACTCTGGACTGTGGACTTCTGAGTTAACGCTGGAATAAGACTTTGGGGGACCATTGGGAAGGCATGATTGGTTTTGAAATGCGAGGACATGAGTTTGGGAGGGACCAGGGATGGAATGATATGCTTTGGCTGTCTCCCCACTCAAATCTCATCTTGAATTCCCATGTGTTGTGGGAGAATCCAGGTGGGAGATAATTGAATCACGGGGGCAGGTCCTTCCCTACGCTGTTCTCGTGATAGTAAGTCTCATGAGATCTGATGGTTATTATAAGGGGGAATTTTCCTGCACAAGCTCTCTTCTCGTTTGCCACCATGTAAGACATGTCTTTCACCTTCCACCATGATTGTGAGGCCTCCCCAGCCTCATGGAACTGTAAGTCCATTAAACCTCTTTCTTTTGTAAATTGCCCAGTCTTGGGTATGTCTTTACTAGCAGCGTGAAAATGGACTAATACATAGAACTACAGTATACACAGCTTTCCTGCTCCCCAAACCACATGAGAGTAAGTTGCTGATCTGACGTCCCAACACCAGTATTTCCTACAAAACAAGGACATTTTTCAACCACAAAAATCAGGAAACTGATACTGATATATTACTACCACATGGTCCACAAATCCCATTCAAGTTTTGCCAGTTGTTCCAATATGTGATAAGTTACCTTTAACTCAGCTGTGGCATATAAAATGATAGTTCTCCAAAGACATCCACATTCTAATCCCTTGAATTTGTGAATGTTACATTACACGGCAAAAGAGAATTAACATTACAGATGGAACTGGGGTGTCAATCACTTGACTTTAAAATAGAAAGATTATCTTGGATTATTTGAATGAGGCAAAGTATCCACAAAAAATTAGATGCTGACAGTAGAGGAGGCTGTGTGTGTACGTGCAAGGAATATACAGAAACTGTACTTTCTGCTCAATTTTGCTATAAACCCAAAGCTGATCTACAAAACAAAGTTTAAAGTCTATTGAAAAAAATTTAATATGCTCCCTTAAACTGAAAGTAGTAGAAAATGATCATCATCTTTTAAGTCCTAAAAGACCAACAATGAACAGACATTCAAACATCATATAAACACCTATTTTTTCTGATGTTTTCTGTCTTATATTAATATGGTGACTTCAGCATTCTTTTCATTAGTTGGCACAGTATATTTTTTCCATCCTTTTGTCTTTAACCCATCTGTACTATTATATATAAAAACACTGTTATTCCTTTTACTCTAGGGTTTTTTGGTTATTGCCCTCCATCTTTCTCACGTTATGTTTTTATTTTTATGTTTTTATATCTATGAAGATAGTTGTAAGATTTATAATAAGATTTTAAGGTTCTTATCTACTAATTCTATCATCTATTCGTCTCTAGGGTAGTTTTGTGGGTGCCTTCCTCACTCAGTCCTACCTAATGGCTTTTGGACTGAATTAATCAGGAATGAATAACTATTCAATCTCTGTTAGTTATGCTGAGAGTTTTTGTCATGAATGAGTATTACATTGAAATGCTTTTTCTGTATCTGTTGATGCTCATATAATTTTTCTTCTTTATTATGTTAATGTGGCAAATTACACTGATTGGCTTTTTCTTTTTCTACTGCCTAATTCATTTGTCCCAGTATGTGCTTTACAGCAAAAGGATCCAGTTCAGAATTACACTTTGTATTTGGTGGTTATGTCTCTTTACTTTCTTTCAGCCTGAAACAGTTGCTCAGATTTTCCTTGACTTCCATGACTGATAATTTTGAAAAGTACAGACCATTATTTTGTAGAACACCTCCCAAAATTTGTGTAATATTTCCTCATGACTAGAATCAGGTTATGTATCTTTGGCAGGAATATTATACAAGTGATGATGAGTTCCTTTTTCTGCATCTCATCAGATAGGGTATCATTTCCATTTATCTCATTACTGAGGGTATTAACTTCAATCCATTTATTTATTTATTTATTTTGAGACAGGGTCTCACTTTGTCACTCAGGCTGGAGTGCAGTCACCTCACTGCATCCACGAACTCCGAGTCCTAAGCGATCCTTCTGCCTCAGTCCCCGAAGTAGCTGGGACTATAGGTGCATGCCACCACATCCCGCCAATTTTTGTAGTTTTTGTAGAGATGTGGTTTCACCATGTTGCCTAGACTAACTTCAATCTCTTGATAAAGGTGTATCTCTTAGCTTCTCCACCAAAAAATTTTTCTTACTTTACAATTACTTAATAATATGAGGGAGAGATGCAGAGACCATATAACTATCCCATACTTCATCGAACTTTCTTCCATTAGTTTTAGCATCTACTGTTTCTTACCTGAATAAATTATTATGATAGCTATCAAATACAGGCATACCCCATCTTATTGTGCTCTTCAGAGGTGTGTGGCAACTCTGCATCTAACAAGTCTATTGGTGCCATTTTTCCAACAGCATGTGCTCACTTTGTGTCTCTGTGTCACATTTTGGTAATTCTCACAACATTTCAAACATTTTCATTATTATTGTATCTGTTATAGTGATTTGTGATCAGTGATCTTTGATATTACTACTGTAATTGTTTTAGTGTGCCACAAACCATCCACATATAAGAGGTGAACTAAATCCATAAATGTGTGTATTCTGACTGCTTTACTGACCTGCCATCCCCCGTCTCTCTCCCTCTCCTTGGAACCTGATTGACTGAGACACAATAATACAGAAATTAGGACAATTAGTAACCCTACAATAGCCCCTAAGTGTTTAAGTGAAAGAAGAGTCAAAAGTCTCTTGTTTTAAATCAAAAGCTAGAAATGATTAAGCTTAGTTGAGAAAAGCATGTCAACATCCAAAACAGGTTGAAAATTAGGCCTCTTTTATCAGTTAGCTGAGTTGTCAGGGCAAAGGAAAAGT